GATCATAAAGTATATACAGCACAAAACAGTTCACTATGTCAATACAGCTAAACTCAAGTCACAATTTGATGTGTGATTTGACCACTCTAACCTTGTCCTAACAGCAAACACAAGCAAATGACAATGACAAAACCAAAACACTCCCATTTCCCATTATAATCCAATAAGTGTTCTACACCAGCTGTGAGCAGCAGAGCGTGATGCGGTGCAATGCAACACACCATTTTGGACAGGCACCCATTTCTATTTTTGACATGCTCTGCTGTAAAATGGGAGAGGAGAATCCTGGATTTCTGTGAGCCTTCCAGTAAACAATTTGGAGAGAAACTTAATACCGTTTGTTTGTTTCACTTATTGAAAAGGATACTTAGCTAGTAAAACAGCAGAGACAGGTAAGATAGCAGATGCAACCCAAGCGGCCCAACACCAGGGCGATATCATACTATAATACTTGGTTATTAAGGCTATTGATGTTAAATATGGGAATAAAACATAACCTGTTATACAGGCTATTACATGCCCCAAAACCTCTACTGGACAGCTCTGTCAATAAAGCAGCCGACTTGACGAGCACAACTGACGTTTCCAGTGTAGACATCCTGAGGGATTTGTGGCGCAATGCAATACTACATTTGGTAAAGTGTTGATGAGTGGAGCACTTTTGAAATGTGGTCACCACAGCTTTTTAAAATGTATTTACCATGCAAGCACATAGTATCTTTTTTGTTGAAAAAGAAGGCAACACGTCCACTGTTCCACTCATTAATAACAAACACTAACCAGAAACCAAAAACTGAATCATGGGAAAGGATAAAGTTCAGGAAAATAGTGGATATATACACAATCATTGGAACAATGGACACTGGTGATGAAAACTGGAGACACACACGGACACATATATACACACATTTTCCTTGTTTGACTTTTTAAACCATGCATAGCAGTGCCGGCTGAAGCCCAGCTGCTCAGACACTGTATACTGTTATAATAGAATCCACGACTGTAGCACTCTTATTCTCATACAGCTTTTAAATGGCTTTTAAAGCGATACTTTCAGCACTGTCAGCAGACTTGTGACTGTTGAAACAAGACCTTGTATCTTCAAAAGGGTAACTTTACCGCAGAATGAAATAACATTATTAACTTGTAAGAGAAGCGAATGTAATTGTTTTTGGACAGTGCTCATGGTAGATCTATGGATCAATCAATGAGCAGCAAACTGACAAAAGCAATAGCAAAGTTGAAAACTACAGTTCCCCTCATGTAACAAGAATCCGCAAACTAGATGAATGAAAGTGAGAGGCTACAATCATTGAGGAGCTAAAGTATATCATAAAATCGTGAATATATAACAGTGGTTATCTAAGCCTAACCCCAACCCCAACCTCAGTAACCAAAACAAAATGGCTTTTTGTTTTCAGGTTTGAAGCCTTGAAAATGTAGCTTTTTACAAAGCTTTTACAAGAGAAGATTTCAGGTTTTCCTCTAAAATGAATGAAAGCAATCACACACACAAACTTCTGTGAAAACATCCAGCTAGAAAGCTGTTAACCTCCTCATATATCATGACCACCCCAGTATATCACTCGAGTTGTGATAAATGAACACACACACACAAAGGTCAAGGAGTGGACAAACACATGGCACACACAACCTTAACCAACACACACATGGGTTTAATTATGAACCCAAGCACTCACTTATGCTGAATCCGAGACATAAACAAAGACGCACTCTTACACAGACACACTTCCATTTTCTAGTCACTAATAGATCTCATACACATTAATGCACAGACAAACTGTCCAATATTTGCTGCTATTTATCTGCTTGATGGGGCTGAGACATCATTAACATATCATACTAGTTTTACTCGTCGTCTACACAATAGCCAAGCCATTAATGACTCTGGCTCATTACAACACACACACACACACACACACACACACACACACAATCACACACAGAGTGAGAGAGAGTCAGAGAGAAAGAGACACAGAGTCTGTATGTCTAATTACAATACTGGACCCATAACACATCCATGGTGCAGTATCTGTCCAGTTTAGCATCACACTGGCCAGTTGTAATGCACACCTGAAAAGAGAACACACCCTGTCTGCTGACCAGACCCTCCATTTAAGCAAACAACTGCTGCACAAACAGTTTAGCATACGTTACAGTTGAAAAGTTTGGAATCACTTGTATATTCATAACTGTTACTCTGTTCTACAATAGTTTAAAGGTTTTATGGCAACAGGTTATATGACAGTGATATGATATGACAGTGACAAACTAGACACCAGGAAGTATTTAGATATTTATGCAATAATTTTGGAACAATAAGTTGTTGTATAATGTAATTATCTATTTGCAGTAATTTTGTGATTTGATTACAACTGTTCAATGGCACAATTCTAGGTGTTAATTGTATTATAACTTTATTCCCAGTGTTATACAGCTTTCTCAGTTATCATTATCGACACCTCTGCGCATCATCTATGAAACTGCCTTAATTTTTGTCCAGCTCTTTAATACTTATTTGTATTTATATTACACTATTGATCAAAAGTTTGGAAGACCTTAAGATTTTCTTTGTATTCTTTTACATGCAATAAGTATGTATTCCAGTATTTTGCATTATAAGGTATTCAAGAATAAATGATCTATTTATAGAAATTTGTCAAATTATCTGCCTTGAGACCTATCTGACTTTTGCCATACAAGGCATTATGTATACTAACGTTATTATTTTTATGTTTATTAAGGTTATGAACCATTTACAGCTCTGTTCATCACATAGACACATCTAATATTTATGTATTCATACAGCTTCCAACCAATTATCTGTGATTACATTTACTTGTGAAGTACTAACTTGCACAGGATTAGTATATTAGAATAATTTTAAGCATTTATCTGCCACCAGACAGGCTTTATATTATTGAAAACACTGACTGCAAACTTTTAAACAGTAGTATTTTTTTAAACCTGTGAAGCTGAAGAGACCAAGCCTTGAATTAGAATCATTCCATACACATATATACAACAGAATTTGCCTAATATTATGCATATTTTATATATATATATATATATATATATATATATATATATATATATATATATACATACATATGTATATATATATATGCACAGTTTTTTTATGAAAGACATCAACTTGAAGCAGTTTTCCAGAAACGTTTCAATAATAGAAAAGAATAGCAGGAAAAAATCTAAGAGAGTGAGGAAAAACACTGAGAGGGACGAAGACTCAAAAGGGTCACACAAGATAGTGTCCATGTCAGTATTTACACATGGACACTTCAACTTTTAGTAGAATACAGTGGCCAAAGGAATCTTATGAATAAACTGTAGATCACTTTGTATGGCCCCAAGCTGCCAAGCTGACTGGTGGTCATTTATGTATATAAAATTAGCTGCCTATTTAAATAACATGAATTAGATAAGTTGCTACATTAAAACTAAGAGGTGTCATATTTAACTTATTAACACAGTCATGCAAAATTCCCAAATGACCGATTACCATTGATTGTTTGGCGCAAAAATCATCCAATTCCGATCATGCATACCTATTATTTAATGGCTTCATTTAAAAGGAATAACTTTTTTGTATTTTGTGTTGTGTTGTGTTATCTTTGCCTAAGCTCTCTTTTTAGCTTTTGTGAACATGTTTGAAGGGGTCCTATATAAATAAATAAAAATACTTATTGTTATTCTTGAATTTGTTTATTAATTTGATGCAAATTTTATTTCAGAAAATCTTTTCCGTCTACAAACTTGTTAAGAGTTTGATTTCTCTAGCTTAAGTAAGCTATAACGGAATTTCTTGTCCTTAGAAGTCAAGTATATTTTTGAAGACACACACATTCACATCCAAGGTCTGGTCTGCCTAATGGTCAGCAGCTGCTCAGAACTAATGTCCACTTGTGTATCTGAAGAGTGTGTGTGTGTGTGTCAGGCTGGCTCTCCTGGCGTGAGGTTTTGTTCTCAGTAGTGTAGTGGAGGTCAATAGCAGCTCATTAGTGCCAGTGAGAGCTCATAGATCCAACAGCTATGGACAGCGCTTTGCAGCTCGTTCACACACACACGTGCACACATACTCACATCTTGCTGGCCGGACCAACCATCACACACACACCTTATTGACCAGTGGTGCAATTATGTCTAACCAAAACCAGTCCTGATAAACACACCCAACTACTCACACAGTCGGTCATAAACTCAAATGCATGCCTGCCCATTCACTTTCACACAGCCTTTAAACCTTGGCTGTAGTAACATCACTTCACAGGGGAAAAAAAGGTTAAATATTCCACATTTGCACCCCTAAAAACATTCGTATGGAGCCAAAAATGGTCCGAGACAATTTGCCGTGTCCAACTATAATAAATAAGCATGGGAATGTCAGTACTGCACTACTAAACTAGCCAATATCTTAATACAAGAGAATTTACTGACATCAATTCTGGACTAACAATATGATATAGAGCATAGAGAATCTATACACTGCTTAACTTGCATATTTTGGCTTGAGATGAAATTGCTAGTTAGTATTCTTAATTCTTAAATTCTTAATATATTGTGTATATAATGCTCCTTAGTCAATAAGCGCTACTTAAAACTACTATTTCTGACTGTGACACCAATAAACCACATAACCACCATCTTTTTTTGTACAACACACACTTACAACCTTTCAGTATCTTCCAAACCCCCCACTCAAAGTCAGGCCTAGCGGGGGAGGGTGCCTTCCTGTCAACCCTATTACCTTCTACATGTGGGGTCAATATGTGCAATGCAAAGTGTGTGTGTGTGTGTGTGTGAGGGGTGTCCCTTGTCCCCACCCAGTCTTGGGGAACCTACCATACACCCTTCCTTCTGCTCCTGGGCTCTTCCCTCTTTCTCTCTTTCTCCGCCTCCTCTCTCTTGTCTGTTTAAAGAGGGGAAGCGCCCACAATTGTTCAGAGTGGACATTCACACTGACCACAGGTCATCCATCCATCCAGAGAGAAAAGGAGGGAGCACAAGGCACTCAGAGAAAGGACAGCCAGGGACTTGTGGAGGATTTCTAATTGCTGGATTTCTCCTCAGTGACCTGATCCTTCACCTTGTACTGAAGGGAGAAAGAAGAGTGACAGGTCAGAAGAAGGGGCAGCACGAAGCTAGAAAAACAATCTCACGTTTTTGCTTCACTGAGGGAGACCTAGGACTCAAAACTACCCGCACAGAGACGCCTCCACAGCGGCAGTATGAAGGTCCTCCAGCCGCTGTACCTGCTGCTACTGCTGCTAGCTGTAGCCGTGATGCTAACCAGCGCACAGAAACCAGGTAAGGAAATCGCATTTAGCGCTTTCTTGTAGTTTAAGTGGCTATTTGAAGCGTTTCGCTGACAGAAAAGCAGAAAATGTTTTTTGCGATTCTAGAGGAACTTTTTGAGTCAGTTTCTGAACTCCAGTTGTTGGTTTGAGCCCTCGGGATCAGGTGTGGCAGACACTTGTTCTGGTACTGAACGTTAGCGCTACGATGCTGTGGCTGCTGACCGTTACACGCACGAGCTCGGGATTTTCTTTCTTTCCTTCTTTCTTTCTTTCTTTCTTTATTTATTTATTAATGATGAAAAAAGACTATTTTGGGACAAAGCGATTATTTAAAAAATAATAATAAAAAATCTTTAAATAAAAACAATAAAAAAAAATTATGCTCTTTGTAGAGGTTCTCTGTAAAGATTATCACACTGAACGACCAACTAGTGCTGAACTAGCATATAACGTTAGCGTTTATGTAAGATGTTGTATGAAGTTGTATGAACACCTGCAGCGTGTGTATCCAAACAGACACTGACTGTAAGAGTTCACACCGGCCACTAAGCACTTCTCAGCTCGTTCAGTCTTTAGTCTGTGAAGTAGCTGGTTCCCAGAACCAAAGTGGCCCCAAGAATGCAGTGAAATTGTTTGTGTTGATTCCTGCTCAACCACCGCAAATATAAACCGAGTAAAGTGCTGCCACACGGTCGCTGGGCCGTGGAGAGAGAGAGAGAGGGTTCACTGACCGCAGGTTTGGGGTCATTGGTTTTTCTTAAGTGGTGCTTGAGAGGAAACCGGAGAAGCGCCTTCGGTCTCTGAGGAGCCACTAACATTCACACCTAAAGGCATTTTTGGGTTTATGTCCAGTTCATTCTTTAATTCGCTAAGCTGTTTAAAGTGGCTGCAACCAGACGTGACTTTGCTGTCACAGTTGAGGAGATTAAGATTAAGCAGCATGTTAAACGGTGCTTTTAGTAATTTACAGGGTTTATAAATTCCAATCCCCCTCCTCCAAACCCCCAGACAATGGCTCCGTGAGAAAATAACGGTAGCAGAGCATTCACACAAACTAGGGCTGAAAATGAGTGACCGCTTCTGAAAACAGGTTATCTCCGAAATCTGATAACAGCTGACTGAACAGTATTTTGTTTCCTGAAGTGCACTGAGGACATTCTTAGGCTTTCTTTCCTTCTGATAAAAAGGCATTCCCTTAATCACCCTTAATTCCCTTTTACATATTAGGATCCCCCCCCAACACACTCCACCCCCCCCCACCCCCCCCGCCCCATCTCCTGCCCGCGGGCGCTCGAGCACCGCTGTCTATTGTTAATCACACTGTAGAGCACAATAGATATTAGCATATGGCTACCGCAGAGAGCACGAGAATGAAGAGAAAAGGTGTGTTTGGGGGGTAATTGTAGCTTATATTGCGGTCACGTAGCCTTCAGTCAAAGATACTCACGCAGATAAAGTCGCTTCGATCCTCTCTACAGCTGTATCTGCGCGCCAGGCCGATTATCCAATCAGCGATCATCAGAGGGGAGCCGCTTCCACCGTTAACCAATCAGCGCTTGAATTTTAACTGAATCACTGACTTTAACGGTTCGCCCGTTATGTTTCCTTACTTATCTCATTTTCCTTAAAGGGGAACTCCACCGATTTTTCAAAATGTTTGCATAATTCAGTGATTGTGAAGTAAACAAAGTCACCAGAGTGGTTTGGTGCGAAATGCTCAGTTCTAGAGAAGTTTACTGAGTCAGAATTGTTCTCAGTGGAGGTGATGGGAATCAGACGTCCATCTCTAAAAGCTTGACCATTTCAGGTGATAATATGAAAAGGTTGTTATGAGTATGCTGCCTGACGTTTGCGACGTTGTTTTATGGCAATTGTGTGGTAAAATTTTGGTGTAAAAGGTATTTTAATCCATTCATGGCAGAGGCATACATGCAGGTTGTTGTGATGCAAAATAGTCCCCAATGAAAATGTACTTTTCCAGATTTTCCATTATTTTACAATCCTCAAAATTATATATAAAACTCAGGCACTTGTAGGTTCACTAGTGGAAACAATACAGCTATATTTGTGTTGTAGACATCAGCACTGTCGTATCACCACCACTTTGTTTACATCTCTACCATTGAATTATGCAGAAATTTAGAAAAATCGGTGGAGCTTCACATAGGTCCATATGTTCTCAGAACTTGCTTGTGCAGTCATCATATTAAATCCACATTAAAATTTGGTATAACCATACAAAATGTGTTCACTTTTCACATTATGTAACATTACACTATATTTTGTTACTAAAATACTTCAAGACACAATTTTAATGGGAAAATAACTGTTATATATAGTAACTTTCCAATCAGAACAAGTTTTGTGGCATTTTTTTTTTTTTTTTTGTTCAAAGCCACAAAGTTACATCCAAATGAACTAATGTCCACTTACGATTATGTTTCAGATTTTCTGAATTTGAGGCGAAAGTACCGGAGACATCACTGCCCACACAAGCGCTGCCTGCCTCTACACTCCAGAGTACCTTTTCCCTGAGGTGAGTTAAAGATTCACAAACTGCAGCACATACAGAAGACTTACTTTCTTCCTATCATAGTTAAGGGCTCAGTTACACACAGTGGGCTATATTTGAATAGACTAAGTACGTAGACAGGAATTAATAGCATTCTTCCTGAAAACAACGGCCAGCGAATATTTGCTAAATACTTTACCTGCCCACAGTGGTTCCGTGACAACTCTTCTTGTTAACTGTGAGAGTTTCGTTTGAGAATGTAATGGAGTTTACCGCTCCACCGTGACCTGAGTGTTTGTGTGTGTTCACAGAAGGGCAACAGGCTTAATTAACAGAGCCTCTAATTAGGCCGACCTTAGTCTCAAGCATTAGTAAAACCACACACATACAGTAGGTAAACAGCTCTGTACTAAATGAGGGGGTAATTGCTGCATCTAGACTTTCTCTTGGACTGCGAGGAGTAAACAAAACACATACTCGCAAAGATCACAAAAGAGTGGTTAACTCACATACACTGCTGAAACGGACAGACGCAAACACGGCAGGGAAATGTCCACCCCACCCCCAGCCCAACCCCATATCTACAATTCCAGCTACCTACCACACACACAGTAAAGTATGGGTGGCATTCCCTGCGGCACTAAATCATGACGCTCCCAACAGCATGACTGGCCACATCCTCTGTAGCCTAACAGTTGTTTTATATATATATTCACTCACTGTGGATAAGATAAGCCAGTGTAAACGTAGCAAGTCTGGTTTAGGGTTGATGTCTAGGCTGCTCAAGAAGCTGTTCTATACACAGCGGATAGTAACAAGTGTAGGCAGGCACTAAACGGAAAGTAAATTGGCCCATAAAAGTTTACACCAGTTCCAGAATGACTGGGACCACCGATGTGGAATTGTGTTTGATAAATTGGCCGGGAACACAGTTACTTTAAGGTGCAGTAAGTAGCATTTTCATTACAGCAATATGACTATATCTATCATTATCGTGATACATTACTCACAATACGTTTTTCTGAGCATATTGTGGATATCGTCAATACTTAAAGAATGCTGATTAACTGCATGTTTCATTACAAAGCAAGCATAATCAGCTTTGTTTAAAAGGCTCATATTGTAGAAAACTGAATTTTCCTCCTCTTTATTCAATGACAGTTTAAAGTTAATTCAAAATGTACGATTTTATTTCCAGTTCATACATCCATACATACAAACTAAGCTGCAAAAACAGCTCATTTTAAATAACCTACGTGTTTACATATAGCCACTTTTTCAGCCTACAGGAGTGTTTCAGCCTGGATTGCCTTTGAATGAAGCACAATACAGGGCAGCCAATCAACCTCACAGCACATTCAGATAGATCAGTCTTCAAAACACAGTAACAAAAATAGCCTGTTTAATTCTAAGAGATAAAGAAAGGTTGGAAAATGGTCAAAATGAATTACGACTGTTTTTTTATACATAAAATAACATACATGATAAGTGAAATGTGATGGAAAACAATACATTTAATGTGAAATATTGAATAAAAATCACTGTAGTCAGTTTTTTTGATTCAATTTATCAACCCTAAAAAACCTAAATATTGTGATGCATAGCACAATATTACTAACCCCTATTTTCCATTAACTCTCAGCAAAAACATTAGTGAATGTTAGATAAAGGCAGCAGCTGTAAAATGTTAAAAAATGACCCTCTTTATTCTAGAAAACCCCGTTTTTTCTGTTCTGTAATGCTTAAAGTGTTACTTCCTATTCAGTAATGGTAGGAATGATCAGCATTAAGTCAGTAGTGGCAACTTACAAGCTAAATTCAAAAACACTGCTTAGTGCACCTTTAGAGATGCGCGTCAGTTGGGTGTGAATGCCGCAATGTGTGTGTGCGAGAAATGACACTGTATCCGCGAGGGCGCACACCCTATGTGACAGCCACCCGGAGCCGCCTACTGTTTTCAGACACTCCAGAGGGGTCGTCACCTTTCACCCATACTCTCTGACCCCCACACAAAGAGCCAGAGCTGGCCTGAAGTTAACAAAACACACACACAAAAAAGGGCACAGGGATTAAACCTATACAGTACTGTGCAGAAGTCAGAGACCACCCTTCTTGATTTCATTTCCAGTCAAGACTGACATTAAGAAGATTTTGCAGGAGATACTTCTGAGGAGATTAGATACAAGATCTGTTAAAAGAGTCTGTTCTTATGGTGTTGTGTCAGTTCACAGTTCTAACTAAGTGTATCTCCTTTTTTATACAGGTTACCTACACAACTGACAATGAAAGACAAAGTATGACCATGTCCAGGCACCCAAAGAAGGCTGGACCAGAGAAGCCAAACCTCAGGGCAGCCAAAGACCTCAGCAAAATGAGAGATCTTGGAACAAGTACAGCAACCCACATCGCCAAAACACCAAAGACCTTCACACACCCTCAGGCAGATCGCTACACCATGCCAAGGGAACGTACTCCAATGTAATGCAATCCTGTTTGTGAGAGAACCCTCATGTGTAGAAGAGAAACGAGTACGGGTAGAGCTCTGTCACTTTATGTGGCTGAAGAAAAAAAATTAGAACTCATAAGCCACTGATCGTTGACCAGAGTGCAAAAAAAATGTAAACGTAGCCTGCACACACATAAACCTTACAAAAACTACCCAGCCACTGTAAATAGCATGAACTGAATGAAATGTGTTTATATGTAAGTTATGCACTTCAAATGTTTTATTATTATCCTTATTAAATAAAGAATTATTCTCTTTTCAATAAATGCTGTTATGTTGGAATTATTCTGACCTTATACTTGAACACTACTAGGCAAAAGTGCTATGTGTTTATAATGAAATCGCACAAGAAAGAACATTTTAACCTTATAGACAGCTGTCTGAAAAAGGCGTGTCACCAATGCATGCATAATTAAAGTATTTGAAACAAAAGCTCCATTCTGGAGAAAGTTACAGTCTCCTTCTCCTGGAGCTCTACCTTCCTGTTGCTTTCACCTCCAATCCAAGTCTCAACACACCTCTTTTCGTTTATCAAGGACTTCTAAGGCAGGCAAGTCAAACTGTGGACCTTCCAGGCCAAAGTGCTATGGAGATTAACCTCATCTAAGGCTCTGGATTCAGTTCATGAAGGCCTTGCTAATTAGCTGATGAACTGAATCAGGTGTATTTAATGAGGCAGCGTGCTGAAGTCTGCAGTGTTTTGGCCCGCAAGGACTGGAGCCTCACATGTGTTCTAAAGGAAATAAATTAGATGGACCAGGTGGAGTCAATTAGGGTTAAAGCTAAAGTCTGCAGGAAAGTAGATTTCAAAGAGGAGGGCTGGTGACCACTGGTTTAATACCTCTAAAACAAGCGTGTTCAGTATTGTCCACAAAATGCCAGTCTACAAGTTTTCAACGCAGTTAAGGTGGAGCGCACCTGATTCCACTTGTTTAATCAGTTAGTCAGTCAAACTGGGGACCTTCCAGGCCAAAGTGCTGTGGAGATTAGCATTTACCCTCATTTAACACTCTGGATTCAGTTCATGAAGGCCTTACTAATTAGCTGATGAGCTAAATCAGGTGTGTTTAATGAGGCAGTGAGTTTAAGTCTGCAGTGTTTTGGCCCGCGAGGACTGGAGCCTGACACATGTGGTCTAAGTCATAAAACAACTAATGCTCCTGCTTTGTTGGTATACAAAAAACATGAAGCCACACTGACCCCTTGAGAATAAGACTGGACACCCTGGCTCTAAAAGTTACCTCACAGAAAGTTTAGATATGCAGCCTCAAGCATAAGACACTGTTTTATGATAGTTCTAAGAGAAGCTTTTGATCATTTTTAAAAGTTCCATTTATGGTAAAGAAATACATGCAGGGTACAATAAGGCAAAACAGTACCCAAAAAAAAGACATGAAGGTTCACTGGCTGTTTGGTTAGTACATAACATGGCTATATTTGTGTTGTAGACACTGGTTACCATCACCACCACCAAAGAAAACGGTCAGTACAAGGTGCTTTCATTTCAAAGAACTTGGAAAGAATTGGTGGAATTCCACTTCACACCATGTAAATCAGGGGTGCACAGCTCAGCTGGAGGGCCAGTGTCCAGCACAGCTTGGTAGTTTCCCTACTCAAACACACGCACTAAACCTGACAATTAGCAGAGGAGTGTAATCAGGTGTGTTTGAACAGGTAAATCTAGGACCAGAGTTGTGCACTCCAGACAGTGAGTCATGCTCTTCATAAGCGTGTAATGGGAATGATTATCAATTGCACAATTCACAGGTTAAATAAATCAGATTTTATTATGGTGAAAGAAAATTCACATTTGCCTTAAAAAGACACAAATACAAAACTTTGCATTAAATATTAGAAGAAAAATGACAACATAGAGAAGCTGGCACAGTCAGACTTGAACACGGGTACAAAGACAACGGCTAAAAACAAAGTTTGATATTGTACAGTGCACTGCAGAGCTACAAAACAAATTGGAAACACAGTGAAGACATGCTCACATCTCTGGTCAGTGATAAAGAAACCTAAAACCCAAAAATGAAAAAACTGACAAGACTCAAATCAAGTTTCCCCAAAGTTCTCCCATTTCTCCACCCTTGAACAATTTATTGGGAAGCATTCCACCTGAGCACTAACTTGGTTTCAGGACCCTCATGGGTACTTGCGTAGCAGTACGCTGTCAACATGAGTTTATATGAATGACTATAAGAGTCTATTTACTGCAGCCATTGCCTTACAGGGCTTGTTGCCATGGGAACACAAAAGCGTTAAGGAAAGCTTGCCGATGTTCTTTTCCCGCTAAAAGCCCTCAGATCAGTCAACTGTGTCCACCACCATCAGTCAACGTATGATCACTCACGAACACACGCCCATAAACTTTCATTTAAAAACACAATCAAACACAGGAAAAGGCTCACTTTCTGCCTCCTGCTCTCAGTCTCTGATCTGCTGGGAGGTCAGGGCGAGGATTCTTTTGCTCAGGAGCGTGTTGTGCTGCTTCAGATACTCAATCAGATCGGCTTGTTTTTCCACCACCTCTTCAAGACTGGAGCCATCTCTGTTTCAAAACATAGAGAAACATGCACAAACCCATGACATCTAGAAAGTGTCATAACTAGGATCTTGAGGCACTTGAGTGAAATTTTAATCAGCTTCTAAGACTGAACTCTTCTTTGAAACAGCAAGCTTCAAGCAAGGCCCAACCCCATTTCTTATTTTTACCCCTACCCCTTGTTTTCGAGTGTCACCTTGCCCCTTGGAGCTAAGCTACAACAGGTAGTTGTTGAAATCTTCCCATACAAAATGGACAACCCATTAACAGGCTACTAGCGCTGCTCTGTAGGTGACCCTGCCAGTCTGCAGTGATAGCAGAGAAGAGTAAAGTTCAGCAACCTCGCTGCTGGGCTTCAGTTAAATTTTGTGCATCATATGTTTTCAAAGAGGGGGATGCCATAACTATTTATTATTGCCCACCACTAATTCTTTGGTGATATAAAGCTGAAGTCAGCTGTTCACCAGCTTCTTGTTCTATTTCTCCTCACAACACTCTGGAGTGTGCCTCTGAAAAACCTCAGTTTGTAGGGCCATGTAGCCCTAACACTTCACCCTACCCCTTTATATCAACAAAAATCGGGACACCCTACCCCTAAACGTGAACACGCAAAACAGTGGGCTAAGGGCTAAGTGGTAGGGGCAAGGGGTGAAATGGGATTGGGCCCAAGTCTTCCAAAAAGAATGGAAGCTGTAAAAAAAGGCAAAGAATGGACATATATGTGTCATGACGAGGAGTTTTACGTTACATCTTATTCTGAGTCACTATCAGGTTGCAAAGCAGTAATCCGATTACTGCCTGACTCTTGAGTTTTCCCTGTTATCTGATTACCCAAGTACATTTAAATGCCTTGAACGGATTACCGACAAAATCTGATTTTCTGCAGTTATCAGATTATTAAGTGCATGTAAACACACTCATCGTCTACAAGGGCTCGAAACAAAAAAAATGGTGCTAAATGATGTTTCATGTCTTAATTTTTAAGGCGTTTCTTATTCATCAGCTTTTTGATTAAATTTTAGGTCCCACCTTAAATGGTAGTGACATCCTGGTGCTGGAATGCGACTGCTGCACCATTAAAGGTGGCAGAAAAAGTTTGAATAAGAAGCCAACTTCAGTTTCTCTCATGGTTTTTGTCATTTGTGCATCCCACACACTCGTGCCTCTGATGGTCAGACACCCCGAGACCATGGTTATTGTTAAGCTAAGGTTAACCATAAAAGATGGCCATTATTTTCTGTCTACTGCCTCAAAAACAAAGTGGACTACTTTAGATGCAACAGCAGGAGATGATCAAGAGTTTACTTTTTATTTCGGTTTAAAACATGACAAAACATCAAAACAGCCCAAACCGGCTAACGTCAGCCTGATTTGTACTGTTTGTATGTAGTGTTATCTGCACTCATTTGTAGCATGCCAGTATGAAAGTTACAAAACTCATACCTGAAAAAGAATTTCAACTGGTCTACCACTATTTGTTGAGGCTTACTTGTTAGCTATGTAATTTGCATTGAATATGTTTTCTGCTTTGTGCATGCATTTCCTATTTTGCCTTCATTTTTTAGTGTGTCGGTGATCATTACTAAAAACCACTGAGTAACTCTTTTTAACAAAGCAGTGTTTATCCCCAGTATCTTCTAGTGTTAAAGAAAACTTTGCACTGCTTTGTCACAAATTTCTAAAGTTTTTTTTTTTTTGTAATGAACTAAGAGGAATCGTTTCCCTCACATTCATCACTGTGGTTCACACACCATCCACAGTGGTTGGATCAACGTAGCCCCACAAAATTCTCAAAGGGTTTAAATCACAAATGTCACTTTACAAACTTTGTGGTATCTTGCCTTGTCTTGTTTGAATATTCGTGACTTGCTGTGGCCCTCAGGACCTCAGGTGGACGCTGCGTGCCCATACAGTAGATGGTAGGTGTACCATAGCAGAGGAAGATGAAGATCAGCATTTCATCACCAAATCTTAATATGAGCGGGCCCAGCTTACAAAAGGGCGAACCTTCCCCAAGGCTGCTATTGACTGAGGTGTGTGCGTGAGTGACGGAAACGCAGTGTTTCTGTAAGGAAACAGGGTTCATATGATCTGTTTACAGACCCTTCAGCATGACCACAGGGTGGGTTTGGGTGTGTGTTTGTTGATGTGTGAGTCTCCACCTATGGAGATGGTAATAAGAGATATGGGAGGGGAGAAAGAGAAATTCTTGCACTCATTCCAGAGCACTTTTAACTACAATTAAGGAATGCTCTGTACAGCAGAATCCTTAAAGCGTGTTTGTTCCCAATCAACTTATAGGGTTACAAGGGGTGTCCAGGTCTGACCTCAACAATTCCATAAGGATTCTGTAAGAAATTGTTCATCACAAAATCTCATGTTTCATCACAATTTCAGTATTACTTAAAAAAAAATGACATCAAATACACAAATGTGACTGAATAAAATATTTAAATATAATCATAAAGCAATTATAATTGGATGTAAATTGGATGTCCTAAATCAACCCACTACTTTCAGATGAAAACACTGGTTCAATTGTGTACCCCATATTGTTACCAGTGATGGACCAATATGGGAATTCTAGGCCAATGCAGATATTCATTCATTCTGCCGATGCTGATGCGTATATATATATGCATTTAAACTGTGGAAATTGGGACTAAATTACATTACAGAGAAATTAAACATTTCTGTAGGGTTACAAATGCAAAAGTGATCAAAAGGTAAATATTTTAGCACAGTAACCCACTGTCACCTAAACATTTTCTTCTTATGCCTCAAATAAGCGCAGATAATGCAACATACAAACAGTGCAAACCAAGCTAACATTATCATTTACAGCTGAGTGGCTGAGTCAGGGACGTTTGTCACGTTTCAAATGCAAATGAAAATGAAAATGCAGCAGTCCCTCGATCACCTCCCCCTGTCTAGTCTGTTACATCTTAGGTAGCCCACTTTGTTTTCGAGGTGGCAGACATAAAGGAATGAACAGTCTTTTGGGGTTAGCCTTAGCCTAACAAGGACACCAGAGCAATGAGGTCTGACTGAGGAGTCGCCTGACTAAGACAGAGGGATCCTGGTACTGAAGGGTGAATAACTGCCAAATTTTTCAAATTTCCAGCAGGGTCTGAGGGTCAGGTGCAGTATATGGGAGGCACAAATGAGATAAATGACTTGAGAAAGCCAACGTAGCTGAAGTTGTCATCTAATTTCTTGTTCCTCCTTGATGGCGCAGCATTCAGTCACCTGTACAAGTCCCACACTCTAACTACTAAGGAGAAACAAAGAATTGGAAAAAAATCTGACGAATAAGCAGCTTGATATATGAAATGTATATCATGATATATATCATGATATACATTTTTGGTCATGCCACCCACTATTAATTCCTATACCATCCAATGTGCAAGTATAATTTGGATTCTTCAAGCACATCTGTATTTTTTTATATTAAATACATGCATGCCCAGTCATTTTCTTTATTTTTTGAACTTGTATTAAACTCATTTGCCAGATGAAAACTTTATCCTAAATACTAAATACTGTTCAGGATAACAGACGCTGTAGAAGGGAGTTCCACAAATTCAGGTCATGATCTGGATTATCATTTGAATCAAAGTAGAACTTTCTGAACAGCCTTCTTCCCCCTCCTGTTGAAGTTATTCTTTGTAAAAAAATTCTAGTCTGGGCTTTTTCATTCATTTTTTGTATTAGCCTCCTACTTAGTGGTCAAATCTTGACTTGAACTCAGCATGTGTGTGGAACAGCTGCAGCCCATCTGCGTGTGTAAAGCACTGCATATGGTCGTTACCTGAAGCCTGTCTCTGTGTGCGTGTCACTGGCATTGGAGTAGGCGTGAGATCTCTCCTCTTCACTGATATCTGGACCTGGACGTTGTGCGTTAAACCTGGTCACGTGTACTGCAACACACAAGCACAAAGAAAGCAGCAGTGTGGGTAAAAATTCATTAAAATAAATTTGTCTCTGATGTTTGGCCTTCTCGGTTCTCTAGGTAAGTGAAATAGCAAGAAGGTAGGGTAAAAACTATTGCTCACAGTTTCACAGAGTGGCAGTGAAATAGCAGAGCTAGCTACCACATTTATTTACCATTTAATGCATAATGTGGTAAGGATTTTATTTGCAGCATGACCTGTGGCACAAAACCACTGTTATTATTACTGTGTAAAGCAGGTTTAAGGTATATGCATCTGACGTTAAATTCGCCCCCACCCCACCCTACTCCTAAAGAGTGGCATTAAGGCCCAATCCCATTTCTTATTTTCACTCCTACCCCTTGTTCTCGAGTGTCACCTTGCCCCTTGGAACTGAGTTGCAAGGGGTAGTGGTTGAAATCGTCCCTATGAAATGGGACACCCTCAAATAAAGAAGAACATTAAATTAAAAGGCTACTAGCGCTGCTCTGTAGGTGACCCTGACAGTCTGCAGTGACAGCAGAGGAGGGTAAAGTTCAGCAACCTCACTGCTGGGCTTTAGTTAATTTAGGGCATCATATGCTTTCAAAGAGGGGGTGTAATAATTATTTATTATCACCCACCCCTAATTCTTTGGTGATAAGTAGCTGAAGTCAGCTATTCGCCAGCTTCTTGTTTGAATTTCCCCGCTCCACCTAAAATGGAGCACCAGTTACGCTCTGGTGCTTCAGGCGTCAGTACTGCTGGACTATTTAAGGTGGAACCTAGCTAGCTAGCTAGCTACCAAAACATTAGCATACTATTAGTGATTTTAATGCGTGTTATGAAGAAAAGGACCAAAATACATTGAAACGACAGTAAACTAAGACAATAATGGTTATTGTAATTTTTAACAGAGAAAATACTCACATCTGTGGGTTTCTTTGGTCGCTCGCACAGCCATCTTACCGTTTTTCCTTTTTTCTGAAAAACCTCCATTTGGAGGGTCATGTAGCCTTACACCCTATCCCTAGACGTGAACGTGCAAAACAGAGGGCTAAGGGCTAAGTGGTAGGGGCGAGGGGTGAAATGGGATTGGGCCTTAGGATTCAAATCGAGCTAACATCAGCAGAAAATGCTGATATTAGATATTGGAAGAGAAAAAGAAGGAATCCAATCTGACCTATTAATCGTCTGAAATAGCTCACACTGTGTGATGATAGCTGTGTATATCAGTTTGTTATTGGCCAATGCTGAAGGTTTCAACATCAGTACTGAAAAAGAAAAAGTAGTACTGCGCTATCTGTAGTGAGTATGCTGGAAAAAGAACTTTAATACAGATCTAAAACAAAGAAACTGAATGGACTGCACAGTAGGAATCATTCAAGTGACCGCATTGTGTTTGAAGTGCAAAGAGCTTTTCAGTCCGATAATTCTTCACAGAAAACAGCTCCATACTGTTGCAAAGACACAATGAGTATTTAACATCAGAGCAACACGCCACACCTTCTTTCAGCCAGAGGAAATGGACAGGGCATTTACTAGAACATTAACTACAGAGCACGGGCATTGCTTTCTACTGAACTAACGTGCATTTACACCCATACACCTACACCTGTATTTGCCAAAACACCTTTACCCTCACATTTCCTCCACAAAAAACCTTCACGTTTACTACGCAGGCTGATAAAATAAGCTGTTTCAGCAGAGAACAGGCCTGTGTGTGAGTTTAATGTGGAGGGGTAATTAAGGGTAATTAGATAGTTCTGTCACCACACATCAAGAGCAGCTGTGGAATGTTCCTTCAGAAAGAGAGACAGAAAGAGAGGAGCACTCAGTAGATGTGTCACATTCCTCATCCCTCTGTTAAACAGTAGCGCTTTCCTCCGTCAGAGACACCATAAAAATAAACACGCTCATAATAACCCTAATCTCACACACACGCCACACCTATATAAAACTACAGCTCAGTACTCCAACAGGCAGCCACCAGCTCACTAATTCAGAGAAATCTCACCTAAAAATAAGGTTTATTCCTACTTACAGGCACCCAGATCACTGAAAACAGAATGTTTTCTCTTTTTTCGGAATAATAGTTTGATGTAGTGCATAAACATGGATAAAGTTTCAAAAATGGACCAATCACTCCCTGTCCATATGTGGAAACTACATTGCAAAAACAGCCCATATTCATGGCATTTACATACAAAGTAGGGGTGGGTGATATGGCAAAAAATATCACGATACTTGTTTTCAGGATACGTGATATGCATCATAATACTCTGATAATACTTGTTTTCTTTTTGAGAATCAGTAAGTTTGAACAGATACAAAAAAAACAGTGCCACACAAAAAATACTATGATAATAATAATAATAATAATATTAATGATGAACAATCCATAACAAATACCTAAAAAAAAACCATTAAAATAAGCCTAAATAATTAAATTAAATGAAACCAAAAATAAATTAATAAACATACTAGTTTTACAAACTAGTTGCACTGCACTAACTCCAATCCAATGGGCCTATTTTTTCTCTCTGTGCAATGAAACATGAGAATATCCACCTCAAAAGAAAAGCACAATGACATAACTTTTCACAATAACAACAAAAATATCATATTTATCATATGTTGTCTTATTATGCACCCCTTTAAAAAAGCCTATGTGGTAGTATAATTAGTGGTTTGAGCATGATAGACTTCTTGATGCTCATCTTAAACATTTCGATTAAAAACAGTTCATTTTAAAGAGTAGCACTTTTCAAATCAAGAAATATCAAATCAGTACTCAAGGCGTCAGTGTCTGTACTGGTGTGCCATCTCTAGAGTAAAGGATGTTCTTTCTCTCCACAAAAACTGAGACTGTATGGACAACAATAACAATTCCACTCTCTACGCATGATCACATTAGAGCTCTGCCGCCATCACCAGCCCTGATGACTTTTAGCACAAACACAAACGCTCCGTTCGATCGCTCTAAAGCAGTACATTTGGATACAAAGGGGCTGGAGTGCGTCTTCCCTGTGCGTTAGGGTCAGACAATACAAGTCCGAATCCCCTCCCTCTCTCCCTCGCTCCCTTTGAAGGGCCCTAAACTGGCTTTGAAGTGCGGAGGCGGCATACGACCCATGCAGAAGTCCGCATTCATGTTCAAATGAAGAGGGGAGAGAGAGATGCCACATCAAAGCCCCCGGAGCATGACTCTGGCCTAACTGCACCTTCCTTTAGGAAGAGGCAGAGAGAGATGGATAGTGGGAGATAAACGGATGGAGGGGAGAGATGGGCAGATGGATAGGGATTGCTCATTAGCACAATAAACATGGATTTAAATGAGTGTGGGGGCAAAAAACATGGGGAAAATAGTAATGTACTACTTTGCCGTTGTTAGGCAAAGAAGGCATCATGACTGCGAATGTAAGCACATATATTGTTTTCTGTCTTTATGTTTTTATGTTTTGAATTTTAACACCATTTCATTATGAATGGACTGATAGAAATGGTCCAAAATGACTCAGTTGCATGTATACAGTACACAGTTGCATGTGCAGCCCTGGTCAAATATGTTTAGCAGATTTGTAAACAAGCAATACAACTCATAATGTTAGCTGAATAATCTAACACTTCACTGGTGTAAACTTAAAAGGGTGTGTCTCGACACACGGTCAAGCTTCAGTTCACTAATCATCCCAAGAATCCAGGCACTGATATCAGTGTGAGAGGGAGAGAGAGAGAGAGTGTCAATAGTAAGACAATACCATGGTTTATTTGGGTGGGGTGGCTTCAGGTTGCCTCTGGCAAAAAAGACAAGTCTTGAGAGCTTCTTGAGTGCTCTCCTTACATTCTTAACCATCTCTCTCTGTTTGTAATGGATTCAAATTCTGGTCCAGTCATATACAGATGGTTGAACACCCTTGGTTGATGTTGCATGTTTTCTTTTTTTTCCCCAAGTGAAAATAAGTCAACATCATCTACAGAGATCAAACCTAAACATGCCATTCATCTGCATATTTAAATGCACAATGTATATTTATTTGTTGAGTTTAACATATTGGAGAATCATAAAATGTTAAATTCAGCAAGTAGAGGATGTGAACTTATTTTCACTCAGAAAAATCAATGAAACGTCATCTGACCAGGGTGCCAAACCTTTTGGACCATTTCTTTTATGTCCATTTATTACGACATGGTGTGAAGGGGGGTGGGGGTTCAAACTTTTTGCATGAAACTGTATACATGGATCTCGAAACTCATTTCAGTATTCTTTTTGCTTTACTGGGTATTCAAATAATGGATTCATAGTGTGGTATTAAAACTAAAGCAGCTGATAATGTGTCTTTGGCACTTTATTAAACATTTTGGACATTGTTCAAAACATACTTGGTCAATAATTTCTTAGATCGGATTGAGGCAGTTGTCAGATTTCAAGAAATCCAATTAAGAGAGCTGGCTCTAAGCTTACTTATTGAGTTTTTTAGCAAGTGTGCATTTACTCGGATTTCTTTCGGTTTCTTCAAGCCATCACATTATGAAGCAATTTTCCAGGTCAGGAGCTCAATCAAAAGCAAATGATGGCACAGATGATCTGGCAGTGTGAGGAAATCAGTCAGTCTTCCGATCTAGATCCAAAGTGATCAGAGGCCCTCTGATATTTTCAAACATTGATTTTTAACACTTAAGATATGCACGAGGTAGAAGTCCTGTAGTGTGAGATGATCAGCAATTATCAATGAGTGATTCAGGCAACATCCAATAAGAGCCACTCTCTTTGCAATTTCATTGTCAGCTGCCAGTTTGTAGTAAAATATTTTTCCAGCTTACTTTTATTCACAGTCTTTTTTTTGGCTACACTTCTTGTGCATGCATAAAAGCACAGCCAGGTCTGGTTCAGTTTAGCTTTGTTCATATCATGTACACTTTTTGTAGCCAAAACTCATCATGTGTGCAATACTCTTTTTTGCCTCATCGTCTACTGTGTGGGCCCTCACAACTAAAATACAACAAGTTCTGTAAAAGACTGCAGTTAACTGTGAGATGTTTTCTGCTTTTTTTAAGTCTGTTAGTACACCCAGCTCTATTCTGCACTTGTGTGCTAATGTGACAATAGAGAAGGCATATCAAACTGGGGACCTTCCAGGCCAAAATCCTGCAGAGATTAGCATTTATCCTTATCTGAAATCAGTTCATGAAGGCCTTGCTAATTAGCTGATGAGCTGAATCGGGTGCATTTAATGAGGCAGCGTGCTGAAGCCCACAGTGCTTTGGCCCGCAAGGTCTGGAGCCAGAAACGTGATATAGACAGTAGAGCTGTCCCATAAACAGCAAGCAGCATTTAACATGGCACCCATGAAATGGCAACAAAAACCACTTTTGGAGTGATGCTGAAACTCACCACATGCTTGAGGAAATTAAGATATTCTATATACTGCATGCTTATATTTGCTGGTAAAGTGACACCATGAAAAAACAAAAAACACTTCTTCCTTCTCCTCCTATGAGTTATTTCAGCGAGTTGCAAAGCAAAAATAAAAGAAACCAATGTGGGAGCAAATAATGAAAGAAAATAAAAAAGCAAGGAGGAGACAACTGTTGAAAGAAAGGGCAAAAAGGAAAAACCAAGAGAAGAAAGAAATAAATGATGACAGAAGGAACAAAATAAAGAAAGAATGAGAGAGCAGGAGGAAGAAAGAGGAGTGGGAGTGATTGTGATACAGTGGGCTGGTATGTGTGATCCTGTAGAGGATAAAGACAGTATTGTGGTATTGTGATGCAAGTGGGGTAGTGGCGGGGGGAGGGGGAGGGGCGCGTATAACAGTGTTTTATAATGTGTACGAAGAGGAAAGCTTTAAGAGCTCCTGACTCACACTGAGGACTGAGGTTAACTCAATATCACTCACTAATACTGTATATTCTGCTGAGCGAATGAGTGAATGAATGTACCTGTATATACGAGGAGGCATATGAGGGTCATCAGCAGTTCCACACAGATGATGACCAGCAGCAGATACACAGAAAGATTTTTCACTTTTTCATCCAGCAGAGAGGAGGGTGCGATGACCACCAGTACTGCTGCATTACCTACACAAAGAAAGGGAGAGAAAGAAGAAGAGAAGAGAAAAAGGGAGAGAAAGTGAGAAAAAGAAAGAAGTAAAGAACAAAGGAAAGATGAAGGATGACACAGAAGAAAGAAAAAAAAATAGAGAACAGAAAAGAAAAGAGAAAGTGAGAAATGAAAATTGAGGGGAGAGAAAGAGAACGGGAGAAAGAGAGATAAAAGAAAAACAGAAAGAGAAAAGAGAAAGGAAGAAAAAGGAACGAAAAGTGGATGGAAGAAAGAAGAAAGAATGAAAAAGTGGATAGAAGCAAACAACAGAAAGAAAAGAAGAAAGAACAGAGTAAGAAAGAACAAAAGACAGAGGTAAAGGATGCAAAGAATAAAGAGAGGGAAAATACAAAGAGTAAGAAAAAAATACATTTTATACACATATAAAAAAAGTGTTGAACTGTAACTGCACTGTATTCAACTGAACTGCAATTAAACACAATCAACAGAATGAGAATTGAGACAGAAGTCAAGAAACAGAATAACATGTGCTGCCACCTAGTGCACTGCAGAGAAACTGTAGCTACAATGAATAACCAATCTAAACAGCAGGGCAGCTGTTGTTTGTACATTCCTGCACATGACTCCTCACCTGCAGAGTGTATGAGCAGCGGAAGGCGTTTAAGGTTTCTGGTGGTCCTGTAGAACTGAAGGTATCCTCTCCTCCTCACTGCATTGTGGTGGTACTGTACACATCGCTCAAACATGAACATCAGCAGCCACATGCCCACCTTTCCAAGCAGGACCACGGTCTGACTGTCCACTCCATTCAGCGCTGCTTTGCACTCCGCAGAGTGATCATCCGTCAGCCAGCACAGAACCGCCAGGACCACACACACACTCACGTATGCTACCTGGGGGGGCCACACGCAAGAGTGAACTAGCAGACAGCATACATACATGCATGTTACAAGCTGAGTTAGGCATCATGGATTATGGAACTTTGTATGTTTCAAATCCGGACTTTGACTTTGAATCTACTTGTGAATTTTATTAAGCACTGGTAATTTAAGCGCTCATATCCTACAGTTCTTTTTCTGTTTTTCATCTGTGAGTTTGTGTATCAAAAAAAATGGGAACTGAGGAGACCAACTGCTGTAGTTTTGAAAGTGAAATGTTTTCCTGTTGTTACTTGATATAGGATTTCAGCTGCTCATCAGTTTGGGGTCTCCCTTGTCATATTTTTAATTTCATAATGCGCCAAATGTTATCAGCTCTGGCTGCAGGTAGGTCAGTTTAGCACCCAGGCTCTTTTAATAAGGAGCAGTGCTATTGTAATACATGCAGAATGTAGTTTGACATTGTCTTGCTGAAATAAGCAAGGCCTTTCCTGAAAAATACATTGTCTGGATGGCAGTATATGTTGCCAAAACCTGTATTTATCATTTAGCATTAATGGTGCCTTCACAGATGTGCACGTCACCCATACCATGTGCACTACTGCTCCCCTATACCATCATGAATACTGGCTTTTGAACTGTGCACTGGTAACAAACTGAGTGGTCTCTAACCCAGAGGACACAGCATCCCTGATTTCCAAAAAGAATTTCAAATGTTGATTTGTCGGACCACAGGACACTTTTCCACTTTGCCTCAGGCCATTTTAAATGAGCTCGGGCCCAGAGAAGATGGCAGCGCTCCTGGATCCTGTTTATATATGGTTTCTTCTTTACATTTTAGAGTTTTCACTTACATTTGTGGATGCAGTGACAAACCGTTTTCACAGACATTGTTTTTCAGAAGTGTTTCTGAGCCCATGCAGTGATTTCCACTACAGAATCACGTCTGTTTTTAACGCAGTGCCGCCTGAGAACCAGCAAATACTGGTTTTTGGCCTTGTCCTTTACAAACAGAGATTTCTCCAGATTCTCTGAAACTTTTAATGTTGTACCATAGATGATGAAAAGAAAAAGTTCTTTGCTATTTTATGTTGAGAAATGTTATTCTTGAGTTGTTGCACTATCTGATCATGCAGTCTTTCACAAAGTGGTGAACCCCTCCCCATCTGATTTGCACATCATTGCATTTTGTTTTTATTTACATTTTGCACAGCATCCCAACTTTTTTGGAAATGGGTTTGTATTTTCTGTGGTCTTTCTTATGATTATGGATGGCAGAGGGACTTTAGCCTGTGTTTCATCTCATATATATTCCCCAGCAAAGTCATAGCTGGCCATTTAAGTGTTGCTAATCACTCAGGTGACCACATAAATTTATAAATGGGAATATATTTCAGATAAATTTCACTCCTTAGAATTTCTACAGGTGCTAATAATTGTGGCACATATAGATTAAAGAAAAATATTTTTTCATGACCAAGATTTAGTTTCTTCTTTCTATTATTATACCTTAAATGAGGGCTACATTTTGGGTAATATCTTGAATGAAAGGTAAATTACAATATTTTGCAGCTGATTATCAGGGGTGCCAATATCTGTGGAGAGCACTGTAGATGTTTAGCATTCCTCCGGAGTTGGTTATACACTCCCTTTTGAGCATGACAAGCCTGAACAATCACAATAATACAGTAATCTCTTTAAGCTCTTGCAGTGTATGCGAGTGTTTGTAGCATGTGATTAAAGAAGAAACTCTGCCAATATGGCAGAACACCCATAATGCAACACAACGTGATGTCCTTTCCCAATCTGAGCAACTGCAGTGCCTTTGTTTCCTAAAGCACTGCCTTATTCACTCGGCTGTATCAGTGGACCAGCTGGTACTGAGGCGTGAAAGCCTGTCATACGTCTGACAGTCAGAGACATGAGTGTATGGGACATATGCATGAGACAAATGTTTTAAGCAATCTTCTTACTCAAACTTCCTGTTTCCACATCAAACTGTGCAGCAGTTACATTCAAGTGGCATAGTGGTGCTGCTCCATTTAAGGCGGAAGAGAAATTGGAACATCACAGAATAATAAGCCACTGTTAACCTACAATATTAGGGTTTCTTTAAAGATATAGCTATACTAGAAATGTAGTGCAAAGTAAGGCTCAAGTGTGGGTCCATCGTCCTACTTGACCAGAGATCAAATGTGGTGTGAAAGTGCTGAACAGATTTCACTTCAGCAGCTGTCTGAAAAACAGTTTAATTTGACTTCTTTTTGTTCTGTATCGTCTTCACTAAAGCCAAATGTGTCCAAATGACAGACACTGCATTTTTCTTTAGTACAAGCTGCTCAAGTTGCTCAGCTGGCTCTGTGTTTTAGCTGCCATGTTGCAGACTGGACATTGCAGAGTCTCGTGACTACACGCTAATAAACAGACAGACATGGGCATGATTAAGTTGGTTAGAAGTTTTGAATGACGGTTTTGATTCATTTTTGATTAATCACACAGCCCTAGCTGTGCTAAACACCGAAAGTACAGTCAGAAATTTAAATTATACCATGACCGTTGGTCATACTGCCCACTAAAGTGCATGTTTTTCATACTCACATGTACTACTGTAAGTATCCCCGCTATCCAGGTAGTTGGCAGGCTTTGGAACTCTCTTTTGAAGGCCGACTCCAGCACACCCTGAGATATGAGTGGCCCATCGATCAATGGGTCATCCTCAATGCTTTGGGTGAAATCTGTGCTCGCGTTACTCTGTACACACACAGAAAAGCAGGAGATTGTGCATTCTAGTTACAAACTGTCTAAGTGCCAGTTAGAAGCCTTCACAGCGAAGCTTCTTTGAACTCCAACAACTCAATCAGAAGAACAAATGCAAACGAATGCGTATTAGTGCATCATGAATACAACGGTCATTTCACAAGCACCTTTGAAATGGTGCTTCAAGCTAGAAGACCTTGAGAATGATCCATCATTCAGATCTCTTGGACAAAAGGCAGTACAGCACAAAGCAGGGCTTCTCTGCCGAATAAATTAAGTCCAAAAGTGACAACGGTCAGACAGGAACAATCCCTTAGCTCATTGCTACTGCACAGCCTTGACTTGTAGCTTAAAGGAGAATTTCACTGATTGTTCTGATTGTACTCACTCAGAGTGTTTTGATGTAAGATTTTTCTAGAAAACGGTCTTTGGAGGGGTGACAGTCACCAGACCTCCAACAAGTTTAATTCCTCTAAACTCCTTCTCACAGAAAGTTAGTACATTAAATAGTTATGAATATGCTGCCTGACAACCGAGTCATTGCTTTACGTTAGTTTGGATATATGATTTTGGCCTAAAAGATCATTTACTAAAAGCCATTCATGGCAAGGAGGTACATGCATTTTGAAAAAAAGTTATCTGACCTGCTCTGCAAAATACTACCATGAACTCTGGTCTTTTCCTATTTCAGTAGCTGCCATTAGAGCAGAAGAGAGCCAAAAGAGGCTTGTTCTTATATATGGTCAGTAAAAGTCAGTAAAGCTGGTTTGTGAATGTACACTTAAAACATGACATTGAGGACAAGGCAATGTTTTGTTATAAAATGCTTCTGGAAATATAAGTAAAACATAGAAAAAATGCATATAATGTAAAAAACCTACTTTCTAAATGTTAGCCATTTATTGTTATAACCATTAAATTAAATTAAAAAATAATATTTAAAAAAAAATTAAAAATGATCGACCATTAATAGAAGTCAATTTAAACCTTGGAACATGAAGAAGGCCTAAATTCTGTGATCTCAAAGCACAAGATGAGACATATAGATGAAGAAGCTCTGCCAAGTATTGAGGAGCCAGACCATGCAAAGCTTTATATGTTATAAGGACTGTTGCAACTGACTGGTTGCAATGGTTACATCCTGTTACAGTACCACAATCAAATTCAGTGAGCTCTTTAGAATTCATTCTTTCACAAATGCTTGTAAAGGCAGGCTGCAGGGCTAGGTGTTTGATTTTATACACCTTTGGCAATGGGACTGAGTGAAACACCTGAGTTTAATGATTGAGAGCTATGTCTCAATACCTTTGTCCATATAATGTATGTAATATTTACTTATAATTATTTATTTAATTTAATTATTTAAAAATGCAAACTTACATATTCTTAACTTAAATCATTATTGAAAAATTTCACGGATTTTACAGATTCTCGAATGAAAACCCATATGAGCATAAAATGCATGTCGTTTTCACATGCAAGGCACACTTCATACATATGGATTCCTCTCAAAGGATTTGTGTAATATACAATCCAAAAGCCTTGCTTTATGTAATATACAACCCAAAAGCCCTGCTTTGTGTAATATACAATCCAAAAGCCTTGCTTTATGTAATATACAACCCAAAAGCCTTGGTTTGTGTAATATACAACCCAAAGCCCTGCTTTGTGTAATATACAACCCAAAAGCCTTGCTTTGTGTAATATACAACCCAAAAGCCTTGCTTTGTGTAATATACAACCCAAAAGCCTTGCTTTGTGTAATATACAACCCAAAAGCCCTGCTTTATGTAACATACAACCCAAAAGCCTGGAACATATACGATACGCGATTATAAAAGAACATGCATGATTAAAAAACCTGTTTTGTGAAACATAAATCTTTGAAAAAACCTGCTTTGTGACATTCGTGAAATCCTCCTGGTGTATCCTATGGTAAGTTACTGTCAACAGGAAATATCATAACCCCAAGTTCAGCCCAAAATGACAACTTTTATACGCACCGCATGTGCTGAGAGCCGCCTGGAGTCCATTGAATAAGTTTTTCGTCTTTACTAAACAGTCATGAAGAGAAATGATAAAGGTGAAGCTTAAAAACTATCCGGCTACATGATCAATATTTAAGGAAAAGCTCTCAAAACACTTCAAATTTTCCTTCCGGGCGGGATGCTGTTGTAAAGGTCGTCAAAATAAAAGTCTCCGCTCTCATTTTAAACGATGGCGAATTTCTTTTTTATTGTTGTTTTACTTATTTCTTATTTTTCCAGACCGTTTCACCTGCTTCATTATAAATTGATATTGATGTTCATGTTTCTTTCCATTCCATCTGACTGAAACTGAAAACAACACTTTATGAAATTCTTCACACATCACTGCTTGAAGATTCCTTGGTGATATTTTTGTACTGTGGTTTTAGGAAGTATTTTAATGCCAGTGAATTAAATTGCAAAACTGTAATTGAAAAGTGATGCATATGCAGGACACATAATTTAATGTACTATAATGTCATCTTATGCAGTTATATTTGATTATCTGTCAATGATTCAAATGATTACCCGACCATGAAAAAATGAAATGCCGTTTTCCTAAGTGTTGACATAAACAGGACTACAAACTTTGTCACGTGAATTACGTCACTATCTTACATCGGACGAAGTGGCGGAGGTAAGATCCACGGGTTTTGTAGTTCGATTGCATTTTTGTCTTCATCGTTATACATTTCAGCAAAATAATATATATTGCTACATGTCGACTGTCCCCATAGCAAAAAAAATCATCTTAAAATCAAATTTAATTCGTTATTAAAACGTCCTCGTGGGGTTTCAAGGTGTTCTATCAACCTGCAGATGGCGACGTTCTGCACTTTCTGCACCTTCCCATACAGCCATTTTATTTACTATCCAAAACTACCAGTAAACCCGAGTTTTTATATGTAATGGTGATAATAAAATAGTGGTAAATGGCAAAAAATATTAAACGCTTCATACATCTGGTTTACCAACCCTGTGAACAATTCTGACTAGAACGGTGCATTTCACACTAAACCACACTTAAAGGGGAATTCCACCAATTTTTTTTAAGTTTCTGTATAATGTAGTGTTCGAGATGTAAAGAGTCATTCAGAGTGGTTTGATGTGAAATGGTTCACTGTACAGAAACTTACAGACTCTGCTTTAGAGTGGTGGCGATAGGAACACACAGCACAAATATAGCCACTACCGAACCATCAGTGAACATTTACAGTCTTTTTATATACATATAAAATGTATGTATGTAAATGTATGTAATGTTGATGATGGTAAAATAGTCATAAATCTTTAATAATTTTTCCTTGGGAATTATTTAGCCTCACAACGCCCTGCATGTGCCCCTCCACCATGAATGGATTAAAATACATTAATAATGGATTAAAATGTGTAACTTTTTGTGAGGGAGCTTTTAGAGGTGGACGTCTGGTTCCTATCACTACCACTGTGGACAATTCTGACTCTGTAAGCTTCTCTAGAACGGTGTATTTCGCACCAAACAACACTGAATGACTCTGTTTGCATCTCAACCGTTTACCTTTGTAGATTTTTTCAAATGATTTTCTTCCCCTTTAAACTGCACTGAGCTGAGCTGAACCGCAAGGCGGCGCTGTTCAGCAGACGAGCTGTGCGGAACTTCAGCAGTAACAACAATGGCGACCTGTGTGTGGAAGCCGTGTGAAGAAAGAGCCGAAACGGAGAAAGACGGCGCTGTTATTGGTAAGTTTAGTCCCGAAAACTAGTTGACCTCTTTTGTCGGTTAGTGGCTGTATGTCTGGGTGACCGGCGGAGTGAAATTCACAGTGTATCATTATTTTCAGCCACCCACGTGGTCTGAGCTTCCAACCTCAGACTGGAGAGTTGAATCTCGAGCTAGTACATTACACAGGTTTGCATCTGTACATGGCAGACCTCTAAACTGGACTTATATGACCACGTTAATCCACCCAGCTGTCATATAATCGGTGTCACTTAATGACATCAAGTCATTCTGTTCTTACGACGACTCGTCTTTGCTTTGCAGTCAAGTTTTCCAACGGACACGTGAAAAATACTGACCAGCTGGACTTCAGGCTCTTCAAGCACGTCGATGGAGTCAACCCGAGAAAGAAAAGCAGACGGATTGTGGTAATAAAAGAGAATATGGTGGATGTATATGAAAGCACTACATTCATACTCAGTGGATGAATATGCTGATCAGTGAGTTCAGATACTTTAAAGGGCCCATATCTTACATTTCTCCTCAGTTTAACATGTCCATATAGGTCATAACGTTTATGTTTACCAAAGACATAATAATGCTTTTTTACATGACCGTTTCCAACCTCTCTTTACGCCTTAGAATGAAACAGGCTTTTTTTGTTACTGTGCCTTTAAGACTGGTATATATGCAAATAAGGTCTGTTCTGATTGCCCTGTTTTCCAGCTCCTTCAAAGAAGCGCTACATTCAAATTTTAAGGAGAGTTTCATGAAGCAGATGCAGAGTAGTTTGTACATTAGAGCTGCCCGATAAATCAGACTTTTTATCATTACGGCGATATGAGTTTTCGCGGTTATAGTAATGTTACAGAGAGAACAGAGAGACGTCATTAAATTACCAGCACAAACCGTTAAGCCTGGTTTATACTTGATGCGTGGCGAAAGTCGGAAGGGTCCGCATGGCTAAAATGACATCACACATCCAGACACACCCCTGAGCGAAAGATTTGCGAGTCTGTCGATCGCCGTGTCGTGCGCGTAAACTGTTAGGAGAGCTGTACGACAGAAAAGCTTTTGTGAAAGCAGAGAGGTCAGTAGGAATGTTGGTTGTATTTTGTTTTCTAGGCTGCAGAGTCTGACAGGCTGACCTATGTCGGAAGCAACTTTGGATCGGGTTCCCTACAGTGCAACAACCTCTGCAGGTATGTGTGGACAGTGTTCACAAGACCTGGAAGAAGCGTCCTGTGGCCATATTGTTGACATTCCATCAGAATAACGCGTGTAAGCTGTCAACACCAGCTATGGCTTCCAAGTCAAGATGTCAAGGAAGAGTCAGTTGGGTCGGAGGTGTTGATCTGTGCCAAATCAAAAAAAACTTATATTTGAGTTCTGATTGTATGTTATTGCCCATGAAAACCTATCCAAGCATCTACAATTAGCTTGTAAAAATGCTGCGTCAGCATACACATCACAGAAACTAAAAGCATGCAAATGGCTGGAATCATATAATTAATTTTAATTCATCTGTGGAAAAGCGAATAAGTGTTGTAAGTATAGTTGATGTTCGGTAGGGTTGATCAGTGTTGAGGTTTTTTATATCGAAATCACAATTCTTTAAATCACAAGGGCTGCAGTTCCTTTTATATGAAAGCCAGTGTTATCAAAAACGTTGTCTTAAGTTTTAAGAGTGGAAACTGAACCCGGTAACACAGAGCTTGTGAAGTGCCTGTAGACAAGTTAGGCCAATCAGAGGCAACCAAACCTCTGTGTGTTGTGACTTCACAACCACAACTTACTGGCAGTTTGGCACGCTCCTTTAAAGGGTCGAGCCTCAAGCCGGAAAAGGTATATATTCTGGAACTTCTTGGCCAAACAAAACAGGTGTGAACCTTATACCTTACAGATATTAATCACAATTTAAATTGTAGTTTAATTGTAGAAAATCGCAATTAGATATTTTCCATCATCAATCAGTGTCAACACTTAAAAGTGATCAAGGGCAAAACTACAAAATTCATCCTTCACATAACTTTCTATGTGTGACAAAATGATGAGAACAGACTTGGTATGGAGAGACAGCTGGAAAGCTTGGAAAGTTTGTTCTTGCTATCCATAGATTTCTCTTGCATTAGCTCAGCTCTTCAGCCTCTTTCCCCTCACAACGTCAGACAGCCAGGATGCTGTAAAAGCTTACACGGTTTTGTTTTTTTGTGGCTGTTACTACGGCCATGAGTCACACAGCACACCATGGCTATATTTTATGTCAGGATGCTTTATTAACTGACAGTGTACAAACAGTGACTCTGTTAGTGCTACTGTTGCTGCCTGGCCAGGGAAATGTCAACAATATGGCGGTGGCTTCAAGCGTGATGTCAAGCAAATACTATGTATCAAATGTGATAGTTTGGCTCGTATTTTGAGTTTGTACACTGTATGTCCACATGTTTGTGGCCACCCCTTTTTATTTGTGAATTCAGTTGAATTAAGGTGCTTTCACTGCTGACACATGAGTTCAAGGGCACACACAGCTTTTATAGTCTCCACAGAAAAGCATTGACAATAGAAGAGGATGCTTTGGAGTAGCTGCACATAAGGCTAAGGTCACCATGTCCAATGCCAGGCGTAGGGTGGAGGGGTATAAAGCCCCCCAGCATTAAGCTATGGAGGAGTGGAACTGCGTTCTCTAGAGTGATAGGGCACCAACCACTACCTTTGGGATGAGTTGTAGTGGTGTTCGTGACCCAGAACTAATCATACAACATCAATATCTGATCTCACTAGTTCTGCCACTACCGAATGCAATCAGATCCTCACAGCAATGTTCCAACATTTAGCATAAAGCCTTCCCAAAGAGTAGAGACAGTTACTGCAGCAAAGGGGGTAAACTCCTTTTTAATGCTCTTGATTTTGGAAGAAACATTGATCAGCAAGTGTCCACAAACTTTTGGCCATATAGTGTATATACAAGTTGTTAAGGACATTATTGTGAAGGCAGATGAAGCACAGATTCATATTAGTACCTAGGATTTCGGCTAATTACTCTAGCTGATGTTGGCTTGGTCCAGAAACAGTGGTAAAGTATATTTCTCTGACAAGTTAATATGTTGATAAACAGACATGTTGATTTTAATTATGCTGAGTTTTTGAATAACTTAATTCCCTTTTAGCTGGATCACTCTGCTGTACTTTAGAGGTTCAGTAGCCATGGGTCAAACAGTTTCTAGGTTTGGTGGAGTGGACCTTAAAATGCTCCAGCTATGTTTCTGAAAGGCCTGCTATTCTTCACAGGTATTTTGTGGGGGTTTTGGACAAACGAACCATGGAGATGAAAGTGCAAAGAGCCCAGATTTTCAACCTGCAGCCCAGTATACCAGGTATACAAATCATCACTGGTTGAAAAGATGCAAGAATGTGAAACTAAGGATTATTTCACAAAGCAGGATTACTTAGTTAGCTAGACAGTTTAAGCCCAAAGAAGAAGAGGAAGGGTCAGTCGTATGAAACAACCTGTATTAGACATTCTTAGGGGACAGTCGTATCATGGGGGGAAATTTTTTTATTTATTTTTTTTTCCACAAAAAATTCACTTTTAAGTCCATACCGTTTAGATATGGAAACTAAGCAGTTTTGAATTCATTATTTTTGTGATGTCACAAAAGCCAACACATTTACAAATGTCAGCCTACCGCAGTTTATCTCATGTTGAGAAGTGCTTGAGCCTAGGCTTTTTTTAATGAGGCAGAGATCGTCTCCACTTATGCTGTTTGTGTGGGTTTATGTTGCTGAACTCATTCATTTTTACTTCTTCTCATTATTAGTGATTGTGCATTGCTGATTTATATTCTTCTTCTTTTTTTCATACTTTTCTGCTGGATTTTTTGTCCGCTAACTCATCCCACAGTTTTTGAGATATCAACACCTTTCCTACTTCGGAATGTTCGGTCTGATTGGAAACGACGTGCTTCTGTACAGCTTTTTAATCCAATGTACGTTTTTTCTTTAATCTTTGTTAATTTACTAATGTTTCCCATAGGAATGAAAGGGGGGAAAAATAGCACGTCCATCTACAGTATTTCTGCTTGACCAAGAGACACCGTTTAGCATATATCTCAGGGCAGGCCCCTGAGCATGAATTCAGTTTTCTGACCAGCACTCATCTGTTTGTCACATTTTTCTCATCCCTCGTTTCTCCCCTAGGGTCCCATTCATTTTCGCTACCACACAAACTCTATTAATTCGTTGCCCTACAGCCACCAGACTGCATGTACTCACTACGGGTAGGACATTAAGCTCCACTGCACAGCCATAACGAGCTGCACTCCTCTGTGTGTGGTTTTCTCATCCCTCATTCCCCCTATTTAGGTCCATTCATTTTCACCCACAAACAAGACAAATACTTTCCTTTCACTGACAGTTGTATCAGTCTGTCTTGTAGCTAGTCATTGTTTTCCTCTTTTTCCTTCAACACTTCAGAGCATAACGGTCTTTTCGAACTGATTCTTCTCAAAATATGTCCAAAATAAAAGTGCCTCGGTTTGGTTATCTGGGCTTCGAGTGAGAATGGAGGCTTGATTTATTTCAGGGTTTATTAGTTTGTTTTCTTTGCCATCCAAGAGACTTCCAAGTAGTCTTTGCCAGCACCGAAGTTCAAAGGCATCTATATTTTTCTTGTCCCACCGGTTTACTGTTTGCCTTTTACGTCCATAAGGAACCACAGAAAAGACCATATCCTGGACACATGCGACGTTTATAGAGACGAATTGTTGCATTTGAAGATCTTTTCAAGCTCCTTTCGAGATCCTTGTTCTGCTGAGTGCCAGTCTGAATTCATTTCAACTCAACCGTTTTTCAATGTTATTTATAATCCTTATTTTTGTTACTGTGCTTTTTAAGACCAACATATGGAAAGGGATCTATTCTGATTGGCTTATGCATATTGTAAGCAGTCATTAAAAGGCTGTTTGAGCCCTTGAAATGCCCTTTATAATTTGAATGAATGGGCAGAGCTAAACTGCTATAGACTGTGTATAGGAGGATATTTGTAAATGTATTGTTTTTTGTGCCATCAAAAACTCTGATTTCAAATGGGTTTTACTTTCCATATACTGACTGTATGGACTGGGTATGTTTTGAAACATGAGCCATGTTTACATACCATATCAAACTACTATTTCCAGAATGTGAGAACAATTTAGTTTTCCATGACACAGAGTGCTTAACTGATGAGGTATAGAGAGCTTGCAAAATGATTATATGAAAATGAATGATAATTCTAGGTACATAAAGCCCTAAAAATATCATATATACACAAGAATAATGTATTTGAAAAATGTAGGCTCTTAATATGGGATCTTAAAGCTTTATCATGTCACACCATTTATTATATTTAATTGCGGTTATTACTTTGTAACATCATTGTCTTTAGCCTAATGAATGGGGGATATGAATGATTTATTTCCATTAGCACTACCGTTCCTTTCTTTCCTGCTAAAGACATCATTTAAAAGTTATTCTGGTTTTGTCTGATCTTCCCAGGAGAAATCGTAGTAAATGATGACAAAAATGAGACCAAATCCTACAGACAGAAGGTGAGACTATATTTCTGCCCTTTGGAGTTTATATGTAGCAAACCTCCCAAATTAGTTGCTTTTGCCTTCTTCAGAGTTAAGAGTTAAAATAGGTTAAAGATGAATTGTTAATATCAAGAAAACCTTTCTTTATTTCCCTCTTAATCAAACTCTTAAAAAACTCTTTTTAAAAAGTGCTGAAATATTTTTTTAACCTAAAGATAGCTTCACACTTGTCTTAGAGTGTAAGAGCTGACAAAGCAAGCTCTAAAACTGGTTATTAGATAACCTATATTAGTTAAATATAATATAATTGTTTAAAAATGTATTTAAAATATTGTTATAATGGGTATATTTGTTCAAATAGACTAAGATTTTCCTGTTGGCTCTTTTGTCCTGATTCTCCTGTTTTTGAATGTGCTGTGTTCTGTCACTGAGCAGGTAAAACTGAACAACCAGTTAACAGAAATAGCAGTTCATTCAATTCAAAATGTGTCTTTTAGGGTAAACTGTAAACTTTATATAATATGATATTGATGGTGAATATGATTAATGACCTATAGACTTTCTCAAGAAAATGATTAAGGCTTTATTAATATAATATCTGGAAACTTAAGGTGTTTTAATTTTTTGTTTTTAAAGAAGAACTTCTTTAATTTTTTCTTAGGAAGTTTCATAAAAATCCAGCCCCTTGATCCTTAATCATTAGATTTTGTAGACGAAGCCCTAATGATGTGTTTTGTTTGTGTTGTTTTTGTCATTGTAGGTGGATGATCTCATTGAGGCATTTGGCACGACTAGACAGAAACGAGCTTTAAGCTCTAGACGACTGAACGAGGTCGGAAATGAGACTCTGCAGAAGGCTGTGGACCGTGCCGCCGGCAATGTGATAGATCAGAAAGGCCTGGAAGGTAAACGCCCACACACGTTTATAAGTACTGAGTATTGTTTGTACTCATACGCAACAGTGTACACCCCCGATACCCAATTCAGCATTGTACCCCATGTAACAGTGTACCTCCAGAACCCAATCTAGCATTGTACCACTACGCAATAGTACCAAATTACATACCAAAATACCAATTATTAAACACCGAATACCTGTACCAACCCAAATCCGCTGTGATTCAGTGTTAGATAACAATAAATAATTAAACATGAAAACTTTTAAGGGCACTGTTTATCACCCGTATGGCATAAATAGTGCTCAGTGGGGTAAAGTAGCCTTGGTTAACCAAGGCAGAATTTTTTTGGGCTTAATATGGCTTACTACAATTGCATTAAAATGCATGCAACACATAACAACCACCTAGCAACCATATAGCAACACCATATCAACCAGATAGCAATGCCCTAGCAACCACATAGCAACACCATAGCATCCACATGGGATACCATAACAACACCAGAGCAATCACTTAGCAATACCATAGTAGCTACCGAGCCACCATCTAGTAACCACCTTGCAACACCATAGCAACCACTTAGCAACCTAGCCACCACCTAGTAACCACCTAGCAACACAATAACAACACCATAGCAACCATTTAGCAAGGCCCTAGCAACCACCTGGGATACCATAACACCGTAGCAACCATCTAACAACCACATAGCAACACCATAGCAACCACCTCAGATACCATAGCAACACCATAGCAGCTACCTAGTAACCACCTAGCAACCACATAGCAATGCCATAGCAACCACCTGGGATACAATAACAACACCATAGCAATCACTTAGCAATACCATAGCAGCTACCTAGCCACCATCTAGTAACCACCTAGCAACACCATAGCAACCACTTAGCAATACCATAGCAGCTACCTAGCCACCACCTAGTAACCACCTAGCAACACAATAACAACACCATAGCAACCACTTAGCAATGCCCTAGCAACCACCTGGGATATCATAACACAGTAGCAACCATCTAGCAACCACATAGCAACACCATAGCAACCACCTGGGATACAATAACAACACCATAGCAACAATCTAGCAACCACATTTGCAACACCATAGCAACCACATAGCAGTACCATAGCAGCTACCTAGCCACCACCTAGTAGCTCCATAGCAACACCATAGCAACCACTTAGCAATGCATAGCAACCACATAGCAACACCATAGCAGCTACCTAGCCACCACCTAGTAACCACATAGCAACCCCATAGCAACCACCTCTGATACCATAGCAACAACCTAGCAACCACTTGGGAACACCAGAGAAACAACCATAGAAAATAGCAACAACCTAGCAGGAAGTGGGAATTATTTAAGCTGTGCAAACACATGTTTCTGGTTAAACATGAAAACTTTTAAAGGCACTGTTTATCACCTCTATGGCAGAAATAGTGCTCAATGGGGTAAAATAGCCTGTTTACCAAATCAGAATTATTGGGCTTAATATGGCTTATTACAATGACAATTGCATTAATGTGCCCAAATCATGGAAAACAGATTTTTTTTCTTTGCTTTTTCTAAATAAAAGATGCAGCATGTAAACATCAATACAATTTAAAACATACTATTCACACCCTATACACTACAGTCTGTATAAACATACTATTCACACCCTATACACTACAGTCTGTATAAACATACTATTCACACCCTATACACTACAGTCTGTATAAACATACTATTCACACCCTATACACTACAGTCTGTATAAACATACTATTCACACCCTATTCACTACAGTCTGTATAAACATACTATTCACACACTATACACTACAGTCTGTATAAACATACTATTCACACACTATACACTACAGTCTGTATAAACATACTATTCACACACTATACACTACGGTCTGTATAAACATACTATTCACACACTATACACTACGGTCTGTATACACATACTATTCACACACTATTCACTACGGTCTGTATAAACATACTATTCACACACTATACACTACGGTCTGTATAAACATATTATTCACACACTATTCACTACGGTCTGTATAAACATACTATTCACACACTATTCACTACGGTCTGTATAAACATACTATTCACACACTATTCACTACGGTCTGTATAAACATACTATTCACACACTATTCACTACGGTCTGTATAAACATACTATTCACACACTATTCACTACGGTCTGTATAAACATACTATTCACACACTATTCACTACGGTCTGTATAAACATACTATTCACACACTATTCACTACGGTCTGTATAACATACTATTCACACACTATTCACTACGGTCTGTATAAACATACTATTCACACACTATTCACTACGGTCTGTATAAACATACTATTCACACCCTATTCACTACGGTCTGTATAAACATACTATTCACACACTATTCACTACGGTCTGTATAAACATACTATTCACACCCTATTCACTACGGTCTGTATAAATAAACAAATCTGCATAATTTTGATTTGTGATGTCACGAAAACCTACACCTACATATATCCACTTAGTCTACAGCAGTTCATGCCAAAGTTTTAAGGAGGTTTCAGGCCAGGCTGCTTTTTGAATGAGGCACATTAGAGGCCAGCCAATCAGAACAGTGCTCATTTACATGTATCAGTCTTAAAGGTACAGTAACCAAAACAAGATAAATCCTAAGGGGTAAAGAGAGGTTAAAAAATGATCATGTGAAAACAAACTGACTGTTTTCGGGACATAAAACTCTAATGAAAATATAATTAATAAAACCTCTATTAATATATGTGCTTCTGTGGCACGTTTTCTCTCTCTTTCCATCTTTCAGTGCTGCAGCAAGAGGTGGCAGATTCGGAAGCTCAGACAGAAGTCGCTCTCTTCCTCCCACCTTTCAACAAGAATGCGGATAAGCGTGAAGACGTTTACCCCTTCAATGGCCGTATCCTTCCCCTGACTAACGAATCACTGTGTCTGGAGTTAAAAACCTTGTTGTGGGCTTTGTCGCTATAGGCATGTTGGCTGGTACATAAGCTTTGGGGTTTTGACAGTGGCACCTTAAAGCTGCTGTAAGCAATACAGGGTGATTCAAAAAGATTCATTTTTTTCAAAATGGTTGATTTCACTTGTAAATCATTACAGAACAATGCAGCAAATTGTAAATGGTTAACATAATAAACTTTATGCTCACTTAATTTTACAAGTGCTCAATACGACGTCCTCCAGCTGTATGGACAACGTCAACGCCGTAGTCAGATTCATCCCAGACTTGATTGAGCATGTCGGGTGTCACTGTACTCACGGCTCTTTCAAGGCTCTTTCAGGCTCTTTTTCGGATTTCGGAGATCATCCAGTGTTGTGGAACCAATGACGAATGCTCTGAGCTGTTGGAGGTTCACTGCAGACGAAAAATTGCATTGCACAGTTATGACCGGATTCACTCTTATTGAAGTGGAGTATGCAAAACGCTTTCTGCTCAGGGGTCGCCATCTCCTCGCAGACTGAAGGGAGCCATCTTCTGGTGACAGTCAGAAACTCTATGACCCCCTTTTTCAATTTCGTATGTGATTGGTTCTTAGGCTCGTAACGGTTGTAAAAATATGGCACTTTAAAATCGGATGAATCTATTTTGAATCACCCTGTATTTAGAAAACTTGTCATTCTGTGTTTGCTGAGTCTGACTGCTGGTCATAAGGACCTTAACTTTGTATTAGTTTTGTCTCCGGATGAGTTGAATGCACTTAAGCAGGTTGGGGAAAAGATGGCTGGACTGACCTCAGAAGACCTTCTGAAAATGAGAAAGGACAGCAGGTGAGAGGACATTTTGGTTTCAGAGTTAGTCAAATATATTACCATATTTGGTAGCCATTGTGATACTGTCACAGACTGACATATTTAGTTTGCTCTTTGTTGATAAGTAATTTTGTCTATTTGTTGTCTTAGACTGGCTTTACACAGTGAAACCTTAATGCAACTAGTTGCCTGCAACATAATTTCCATGCGCCTTCACACTTACACAAAGTAATTAAAACACAATCAGTAGCAGCTTGTGTTCTTTGTACACTGTATGGTTCTTGCTATAAAGTCATCCATGAGGTGTAATTTATATATTTTCAGCACTTTTATTGTCTTCCTTTTTTTTATCTGTATGTCTGTCTTTTATCTATGGCTATGTTTAAACAGCAGGTAAAAGTGGCCCAAATATGTGACACAGATGTGTCATCTGTGTGGCAGTGTGAACAGCAAAAAACACATTGAATCTGACATTTCCGAATTCCGATTTGAGACGCTTTCATATGTGGTACTGAAATCTGATCCGTATCCGATCAGTGCGAGTCAGTCTGACCAGCCAGATCAGAATTCAGCTTTTGCGTCAATTCAACTGGACATTCACCATAATTTCGCACTGCTGAGACCTCAAACATTTGGGATGATATTTCTGTACAAAAAATCAGAAGAGACTTATCACAACCTCTCCGTGTTTGAAGAGATTTCAAAAGAAATGGCCGAACGTGGCTGTAGGAGAAATGAGGCTAAAGCGTCAAAGGACAGTTGAAAGTCTGAAAGCGAAGTTTAAGGAATCCGAGGACGCGAACCAAAGAAGTGACTGTGGCCGATAACGTGCACTTTTTATGGCGAGCTTGAACACATTCTAGGGTGATGAGCCCAGCTGTCAGTCAATGAAGCTTCCTGATCGCTCCTGTGATGCTGGCAAAGATGAAACAAGCCACGTTTACATGCAGCCTAATAATCCGTTAATAATCCGACTAATAGCTCAATCGGAATAGAACACGTCCAACACTTCAGTCGGAATAGTCTAGCCTGATTGAGGCCATTAGGAATACAATTTCTATCCGATTGAACAAGGTGGGTAATCCTGTAAATAATCAGTTAAATAGAAGAATAATAGCCATGTAAACTCCTGTATCGGATTACATTTCCAATCGCAACGTGCAAGTTTCTGCGCACTGTGCGTCGCGTCATTGCAAAAGCACAGAACTCATAAACCAGCTCTGGCAAAAGTTTATTACGTTCAACATGGCGGAGCAGAAACTGGTCTGCAGAGGAGACGAAGTTTATGCTCTGATCTTTAAACAACGGCGGCGGGACGGGCGTCCAGCTTATGTGTCTCAGAACACAACGTCTGCCTCTCGGCCTTCTTTAATAAGTACATGTGAAGGACGTTTTCCTGAGTCTGACATCATTTTAAAGTAATTAAAAACTCCAGTCTCATCTCACTCGCACTGGACCTCACGTGATGATCGCTGTCATGGTAACGTTTACACTAAGTGGTACTCCACGCATGCGTGATATTTTGGATCGGATTACTTGTAGTGTGCATGTAAATGAAGATTTTCCATCGGATTGTTGAGTAGAGTGAGCATATAAACACCCCAGTCTGAATCTGTAATCGGAATGTATTCATTCGGATTGGCAAAAATCTTTGCATGTGAACATAAGCTCCAGAAAGCTCTGGCAGCGGACTGGACTCCCATTCATTGGAAGTCATTGTTTATCTTTGGATGAGCCAAGTGAAGCAACATGAAGCATTGTTCTTTTGCGCATGCGGGTCAGTTTGGGAGCATGATCTATTCAGACTAATGTTGCATATACAGTAGATCGAATTTAAAAGATAATGTAAACAGCCAAACAAAAAAGAAATCAGATTTGGGCCACTTTTACCTGTTGTGTGACCATAGCCTGTGTATCAAGGTTTCTTTACTATATATTAGCTTTTTTTAATCTGATGTGTAACAGATAAGCCTTTGAAAATCAATGTTTAAGTAGCTGTTATGGTTATAACCTGCTTGATGTCTCACTTAGTTTGTCCTGGGAGCACAAGTTCATCACAAAGCGTTTCTCTGTCTCCCCTTCTATAATGGTTTATCCTTTGTATCCCAAATTAATCTGAGCTCTGTGCGAAATTAGGGTAGACTTTATCTACACAAATTGTGTTGAATTAAGTCTAGAAAAGAATAAATGGTGGCACAAGCAGCTGATTAAACAGCAGTAGCTGGCTAGTCACAACTGGTGACCACTGTTAGCTCTGAGAAATTCACGTTTGTTGTCCTGGTTCAGGAAACTAAGAATCTTAAGTCAAAATCTTGTCTCCTTTCCAACCACCCAGTCAAGCATCTTCTGTTTCTTGAGCAATGATCTGGTGAAATCAGTGGTTTGAAAGTATGGTGTTCGATGTTCTCATATGATGCATTATTTGCATTTGTACTGGTTGATGAAACTTCGTCTTTGATGAAAGTTGGAATTCTTGCAGCCGTTGTGGCTGAGTTTTAAATAAGTTTCAGGATGCTTTACTGTATGCATCTTAAAAGGAATGTCGTTTTGTGTAGGTTTCACAGCTAACAGTGCATGAACAGTTTGCATTTACAGTGTAAAGCCGGCATTAATGGTTCAAAATAATACTTAAGTACTGAGAAATTCTTAAAATAACTGTCTATAATTATTAGGGGTGTAAGGATGCATTGATTCAATTCTGGTGCATAAACTTTATAATGTTGGAGCCCATCATAATGGATTACAATGAAATTCATTCAAGTATGCACTCATTTTTTGGCCAAAACAAAACTTGCAGGCTTTTTTGTAATGCTTTGTTTTATTTTTATTTATTTATTTATTTTTATTATTATTTTATTTTATGTATTATTGTCTATATTCCATTATATTCCATTTAACTCTTGGCTGTCTTGTACTGTGCTTCATTCAAAAAGTAGTTTGGGCTGAAACACTCTTTGCAACTTTAATGTAAATGAGCAGGGCTTAACAGTGAATTCAGAGCAGGCTGTTTTTATAGCGCAAGTGTGAAAGTAACGGTGTTTACATACTGCATCACGCTACTTTATTTCAGAAACTAAGAAAAAAATCCGTTTTCTGTATGGGCCCTTTACAGAATTGTAATTAAATTGAATCTTTTAAGATTAGAAATGTGCATCCCAAGAAAATGATGATTATCAGATCTAGAAAATTTTTTTGGCCATATCACCAAGCTCTAAAATTGCAGTCTCATGGAAACTGTCTGTGTATGTTTTGTAGTCCAGAGACTGTGCTGAGGCTTTTGGAGTGCCTGCCCAAAGACCCTGAAGCTCGAAACAGACAGGCTTGCTGCACCTGGTACCTGCTGTTCCTCATCAGACTTGCCCAGCAGAAGAAACTTTACTACAAGCGTGAGTACTGAGAGTTACAGCAATTGTGCAGATTGTGCATTAACTTAATTTTTTTGGACATACAAACAGTGATGCCTGAATACATCTGAATGATTTTGTTGATTTTTGAATAGGTTTTTGGTACCATTTTCCAACTTAGGTGACCAAATTCCCATTATTGCAACATTTGGAGATATATCTGTAAATAATGTTGGGTTTTTATTCCTAAGCTTTTTCCATCCACATCCTGTATAACTTTACAGGAGAAGGAAAAAACTGATGACCAGTTAATGTGACAAGTTTGTATTGTAACTCATTTTCAGCTGTTTTTGTTCGTCCAGTCATCGAAATTTTAAAACTACAGGAAGGGCAGGAGGCATTTTCCAACTACTGAAAAAAAGACAAAATGGAGATGCAAGGTTTTGTTCCGACAGTGACGGAATACACTGGCTGTGTTTACATGCAATATTTTTGCCAATCTGATTAAACACATTCTGATTACTGATGAAGACTGAGACTGTTTATATGCTCACTCTACTCAACAATCTGATAGAAAAGTAATCTGATCCAAAATTACATGCATGCGTTGAAACTTTGTCTCCTGTGCAGACCAGTTTCTGCTCCCGTTATGTCGAACGTTATAGACTTTCACTATTACGCGATTATTACACTATGGCGCGAATGCTCATAGAGTAATAGAGCTCAAGGTGTTGCCCTTCAGATTCCCCAGATCTTAATCCAGTCCAGCATCTGTGTGACGTGCTGGAACAACTAGTCCGAGCCCTGGTAGCTCGACCTCAGAATTTACGGGACTTAAAGGATGTGCTGTTAATGCCATGGTACCAGATACCACAGGGAACCTTCAGATGCCTTGTAGAGTCCATGGCAGGTTGGAGGTTTTTTGGCAGAGAAAATTGTTTTTTGCACTTCTATCTCAAAATATCAACAAATATTGGGGATTTTCTTTGTACTTATTCCATAGAACATTTTGTTGTCTTGCTTCATTTCCTTCCTTCAGAAGTTCAGCAGCAATAATACAAACTGGGTTTTTTGTGGTAATGTGTTAATGAGAAATGGAATGATAAATGCAAAAAAAAGAAGAAAAACTAACTCCATAAACATTTTATCTCCTGGCTGCCATAAGGATTCTGTTTCTCCAGAATGTCTTCTTCAATATTATATAAATATTGCTTATCTTATTATTTTCATTCTGTTTGTCTGTTTGTGTTTTTATTTCTTTAAGTTGGGGAAGACGACTGTCCACGACTCATCTACAATAAAGTGCGGAAGATCTTCACCGTGGAGACTTTTGCTAAAGGAAGGTTTGTGCATTAGAGTTCAAACAGAACTGTGACTTTTATCAGAGCTGAATGTTTTTCTGAGGAAATCTTGTAAGATTCCTTGTTTTAATTTAATATGACTCTGCAGTGTATGTACTTTTTACAATCTGACAGTTAATAATTAGGGCCAGACTTTTTAGTTAAATGCAAAAGTTTTGGCACCCAGGTGAAATATTCAGTGTTTGTTTTTTCTCCCTTCATCTCCTCTAAGTGAAAATAATTACACATCCTCTACAGAGAACCAGCATAGTTTTATGCACAACTGCGTTTTTTTTGCTGAATTTAACATACTGGAGAAAAACAATAAAACATTAAATGTGCCCTGTGCAAAAATATATTGCACATTTAACATACTTGAAATCTTAAAGCTGCACTATGCAAGTTATTTTATTGTCCGAATTAACCAGCATTACTAAGTCAGGAGCGCTGCTGCGAGTCGTATTTTCCGGACCACGTACGTCTTTATGTATTAACGTCAAGTACAGGCTCAGAAAAGAAGGTCCAGCTTGATGTTACAGAATGTTCTTCTGCACGTTGCATGAAACTACACATTTCCACCAGAGAGGTCTCCAGATCCCCAAATCTTACCTAGAGTGAACATTGCGCAGAGATGACTAATGAAAAATAAGAAAAATACGAGGTAATCAACAGAAAACGAAACTGTAAAACCATTCTAGGCAGCTCCAGTCCCAGTTTCACAACGTTTACATCATTTAACTACAATAATTATTGAATTATTTCATTTTCTATTATTTAAAAGGCCCATATTGTGTAAAATCTGATTTTCTCTGCTTTATTGGAATAGTTAGATGTTGTATATAAATCTGTTAGTTTCAAAACGTAATGTTCACTCCCCAGTCCATACAGACCACATATATGCAAAAACACCCCATTTTAAATTCATTGTTTTTGTGATGTCATGAAAACCAGCAAATTTTATATACCCACCTATTCAGCAAACAGCAGTTTAACTCCGCCCACTCATGCTGAACTTATAAAGAATGTTTCAGCTCAGACTACTTTAATGGAAAGCGCAGGTCAACCAATCGGAACAGAGCTCATTTACATACATCAACTTTTTAGTGCAACCTGTTTCATTTAAAGGATGCAGGAGATGTTGAAAAATAGTCATGTGCAAGTGAATAATGCTTGGTTTTGGTATGTAAAACTACACAAACATCATAAATGGACTTCGGGGTGGGGGAGGGGAAGTAAACAAAAATGTATGATAAACAACCTTTGACAGTTTCTGATAATTTAAGAAAATGTCAGTCAGTAAAGCACTGTTAAACTATTTGGATATAAAAGTAAAACTTTAAATCTAAAAATATCTGCCAACATTTATTGGAATTTACATCCTGCTAAAACTGGTCAAGCCCTTGTAATAACTGCAAAATGAGGGTTTTTTTGTAAATGGCTGAACCTGGAGATCCTTCAGTAAGTCTTCTTTAAATTTATGTTGTGGTTATGATACAGTGCGTTTAGTGTGGTGCCTGTCGTGCGACACTGACGCATCCAGGCTACGACCTTTCAATCTGGCTATCTGTAGTAATCTGAAGACTTGAACTAGATACGTTATTCCAAACAAGTTTTGCAAGAAATTGCATTTCACAACCTATTCTGATAAAACTAGTCCAGCTCTATTAGTGCTACAGACATTTCCAAACATTTTTATTCACTATTTTTTTGTAGAACGACTTACAAAGTGACGACTCTCTTTCTCACGTTCTCTCTGCTTCTCCCTTTCCCAGAGTGAAAAGCACAGTGTCAGCTTCCATGCAAGTAAAGTTAGCCTCCTATTGCCTGGCTCTGCTGCTGCACGTGGGCGACCAGACGGCAAACCTCACACTCCTACACAGAGACCTGAATATTAGTGAAAGGAAGTAAGTTGCTCTCTTTCACACATACAGAGTAATAATTCATCCCCTCTGTCGTGAAACCAAATGTCTCTCTTTCATCTCTTTTGTTAATTATCAGTCATTCTTATTGTATTTCCACCAGTGCTTTTTAAAGCTGCATAAAGCTGCCCATCATAAGGTGTTAGAACTTTAAAGGAATAGTTTAGCAGTAAGATCTACTTTGCAAATCCACTAATTTTTCCCTTTTACCCCAAATAGAGTTGATCAATCAAGGCAGGTTTATTGACCTAATTTGCTTCTTTAGTTGTGCAAGCTAACACATTATGTAGCTACTATATTATGCCAGTTTATACCACCAATTAGCATTGTACCAGCTGCATGCTTCATTTACACTTCATGTCAGATTACAAAATGTTTGCAACATAAGATGCTTGCTAACCCTACAAGATGCTGAGAAATTAGTTCATCAGACATGAAAACTCATTAAAAGTGAAAAAGACGACAAGTTCAGAAAACAATCCTTTGTAGCGAGTCTGACAGCTTTGTTCCCAGGAGAAAACTGTAGTGATGTTAAACTAAAATAGACCAAAATTAAAGAGCTACCGTTGTGGCATTAGTAAGTTTATTGAGTACAAGAACTCTCGCTTGCCATACCGAGGACAAAAGGTCCCTTGCCATAAAATTTGTGAAGATGGTCAGAAGAAAGCATTGTGTTCTATGTTTCAGACAAAAACTAAAGTTGATTGTCTTGCGTTCTTATAATGATAATTTGAATGTTGAATGAACATTTTCTTTTGCCCACCTCTGAGCTACAGCTACTGAGGAGAGAAATTATATGTGGAAAATATATATACTGCTCAGCATTGATAATGTTGTTTTCTGATTGCCCCTTAAAATTGTACAACAACAGAAAATGTGCAAACTTTACGATTAACAATTAACATGAATGCCATGTTCATATTTTTAAAAAAGTCAGATTTTACTGGCGGTGAGTTTGCAGTTTGGGGTTTTGGCAGATTTTGCTACAATCAAACGCCATAAGTTTAGGGGGCCCCGAGTGGCGCAAGCGTCTAAGCGTTGGCCCTATCATCAGGAGATCGTGAGTTCGATCCCTGGTGATGCTACAGCCATCCGTAGCCGGGAGTCCAAGAGAGCACAGTTGGCCTCGCTCTCCCTGGGTGGGCAGGATGGCCCCCCCCCCCATCACCCAACGCGACGTTAGTCAGCGCAGGCGTCTGTTAGCTGACGTAACAGATCTGGCGGTTGGCGCCATAAGTTTAAGAGGTTGTCCCCAGACCTGTAGTCACACCAACTGACCACTTCATTAAATACACAAACTTGTTTGTACACCCACTCTGGTCCTCTTACCGTATTGGAGCATTTTCATATTGTTTATTTTTATACATATAGATGTGCAGTTAAATACAATGCAAAAACATGTACTTTTCTGTTTATAGGATGCTGGAGGTGGCTAAGGCCATGGGGCTTACGCTCTCCCGCCCACGGGAGGAACACAGAACGGCCTTTTTGGAGCTTCCACTGGTTCGCTACGATCGCCACCCTGAAGAGAAGAAACGCAAGAAGATGCAATAAACTCTCAATAGCAGTAGACTGTTTTGAAGTTGTGTTTAGTTTTGCAATTAAAGGGACACTTCAACAGAACTACTCATTTACATTTGTCCCCACTAAACTATGGTTAGTTTTTGTGTTCACGTGTTGCTTAGAACTGCAAGGTGACCTAAAAAGCTACGTTCATAAAGCAGTAATAGTGGCCCAAATCTGATTCTCTCACCAAATCTGTTAGTTTGGCTGTTCACAGTATCTTTTAAATGTGACCTATATGTGAAATTAGTCTGAACAGATCACGCTCTTAAACTGACCCACATGCGCAAAAGAACAGTACTTCATGTGACTCGCTCATCCAGAGGAAAACTATCAGAATGGAGTCAACAGTAACAGTCGCTCCCTGAGGTTTCAGTTTCATCTTTGCCGACATCACAGGAGCGATAAGAAGTTCCGATGGCTGAGAGCTGGACTCATCACCCAGAATACATTCTATCTCTCTGTAAAGAGGGCATGTTAAATATTCTTGGTTTCTTTTAGCTTTCCTTCCAGACTTTTAACTTTTCTTTGACACTGCAGCCTCATTCCCCCACAGCCGTTGGCCATTTATTTTGAAATCTTTTCGAACATTGGATGTGTCTTCTAATTTTGTTTGTACAGAAATGTCACCCCATATGTTTGAGGCCTCTGCAGCCTGAAATTTGATGAATGTCGAGTTGGATTGACGTAAAAGTCACTTGAATTCCAGTCTGGCTGCTTAGACCATATGTGTCAGGCTTCAGTCCTTGCAGGCCAAAACACTGCAGACTTCAGCACACTGCCTCATTAAACACACCTGATTTAGCTCATCAGCTAATTATCAAGGCCTTCATGAACTGAATTTAGAGCATTAGATAAGGGTAAACGCTAATCTCCACAGCATTTTGGCCTGGAAGTTCCCCAGTTTGACATGGCTGGTTCAGACTCAATCACATTGCTGTATATCGGATACATATCAGATTTCAGTGCCACATATGAAAGTGTCCCATATCAGAATCGAAAATGTCAAGATTCAGTGTGTTTTTTGCTGCCACACAGACAACAGAAAAAGATGGGATTTGGGCCACTTTTACATGCTGTGTGAACAAAGCCAAAGGAAAGGCTATTATCTGACCTATAAGCAATGCTAATTAGTCATTACCATGATGCAAACAGCCTGCCAGGAGTGTCACATAATTCCCTTAGGACAAATGTCAGACAGTTTTCAGGCTAAATTGACAGAGACAGTGAATATGCAGGGGGGTTTAGCAACTTTTGCATTCAAATGAGCCAATTTCTTCTGATATATGCAAAAGCATGAACAGGGATCTTCCTTGTAAGTAACCAGCCTCACTCACTTTACTCAACTATGTGTGCACCACACAAAGATAGAAGGCAGCAGATCCTGCCTTATATGTCTATAATCACTTAATTTATGTTCATTACACGAGTTTAATGTACATATTTATGGGAAACAGTTTGAAGATCAGTTTTTGAAATTGAGTGTAGTTTCAATGGTAGAGTGATTGCTGCTAAATAAAACTGGGAAAATGAATCTGGGTTTAGATTATCAGGCCCAGGTTAGTTTAGATTAAAGTGAACCAGAATCGGATTTTCCATGCATACTCTGACATGTTTCTGAACGAGGGTATCTGTGCCAGCTAGGAGTTTTCACTTCACAATGGGGTAGTGGGAAGGGGCTGTGAAACATGATATTATTGGTTATTATTATTTTTCCTCACCCACTAGTGCATGGTGGCGTAATAAAGATGTCAGAAGACATTTTAGAGGTGGGCAAAAGTTATAACATTTTCAAGAATTGTCATTAATTGATATGATGAATTATGCTAATATGAACCAAGACAAAAAAAAAATCAATTTTAATTTCCAGCTGACTTAAAGATTAGATTAGCAAGATGCACACTACATGGCCAGAGTATGTGGACACCTGACCATCTATGAGCTTGTTGGACATGCCATTTCAAACCATTAGCCTTTAATATGGAGTTGGTTCCCACTTTGCAGCTATAACAGCCTCCACTCTTCTGGGGAACTTTCTACAAGATGTCGGAGTGTGTCTGTGGGAACTTATGCCCGTTCAGCCAAAAGAGCATTTGTGATGTTGGGCGAGAGGGCCTGGCTCGTAATCAACGTTCCAGTTCATCCCAAAGGTGTTCAGTGGGGTTGAGGTCAGGGCTATGTGCAGGCTGTTCCTCCCCAACAAACACGGCAAACCACGTCATTATGGACCTCCCTTTGTGATGGAACAGGAAGGGGCCTTCCCAAACTGACTTTGTATGCTGTAGCATTAACATTACCCTTCACTGGAACCAAGGAGCCTAGCGCAAACCCTGAAAAACACCCCAGACCACTAGACCATTATCCCTCCTCCACCAAACTTTACTGTTAGCACTATTCATGCCGGTACGTAGCGCTCTCCTGGCTTCCATGAAATTCAGATTCATCCATCAGACTGCCAACTAGTGAAGTGTATCTCATCATTGCAGGGAACACGTTTCCACTGCTTTGGGGTCCAGTTACACCACTCAAGCCAACACCTGGCCCTGTGCATAGTGATCTTAGGCTTGTGTACAGCTGCTTGGCCACAGAAACCTGTTTCATAAAGCTCCTGATGCGCAGTTCTTATGCTGATGTTGCTTCCAGAAGCAGTTTGGAACTCTGCAGTGAGTGAACAAATAGTAGGGGTGGGCATCTCTAGGCACCTCACGATTCGATTCAATTACGATTCAGAGGGCTGCGATGCAATTATAAAATGATTATCAATGCATTTTGATGCATCTTTTTTTTTCTATACATGATTTCTGTTTTCTCACTGTGTGAGGACTTTGTACTTCTAAAGCAAAGTATTTGTAATGATCCATAATGAATTTACTTCCAATATCTTTTATTAATAAAACAAATGGAAGTGATGTGACAAGTGAACTAGAAGACTCTCATTCACTGCTCTTGTTTGGAGCATGTGAAACACTGGCTGCCACTCATCTGTGATAAAATGCGCTATTATGGTGACATAAGATCCTGTGGCAGTGGATGTCCACGCAGCACGTTACTTCAGGTCTGGTCTCGTTCTAGAGGGGGGGGGGGTTGCTGTGTCAGTAAAATATCTTCGAGACAGGACGTGTGCAACATAGAGCGAAAGCCCTGGTTCTCAACAACTGAGAACTGGCATGCAGACTGCAGGTCACATAGCAATGCAGTCTCTCCTAGCTAGTAGCTAACGGAAAGGCAAAGAGAGAGATTTAAGATGAACATTTGGAGACAAATGGACTTATTCACATTTATAAGCAGCGCAGTTGGTTTCCTGGTACGTTAAATCTGCAACGAGAGACTGTCAAACACTAAAAAGTGGTGAAGCTGAAGTCGCTTCTCTTTCTCATTTCCCCGTTCCACCTTAAATAGTGCTGCGTTTACATTCAGTGCCTCAGTCAGAGTTTAAGGTGGAACGGGAAAATTTGAACAAGAAGCTGTGTGCCACTACAGACTGTCCGGATGCTGCACTTCCGCACTTTCAAGTTCCACCTTTTGCATTCCGTCAACATTATGTTATAAACTAAAATTTAGAAAATCGATTTTTTAACATTCGCGAATCGATTCAGAATCATTCACGTCCGCATCGCGATGCATATAAGAATCGATTTCCACCCCCCCAACCCTAACGAATAGAGGTGATTTTTACATGCGGCACGCTTTCTGAGCCATTGTTGTTCCAAGATGCTTCCATTTCTCGATAGTAGCACTTACAGTTGACTGGGGCAGATGTAGCTGATCCAGATCTACTGCCATGTTTAAAATGACTGAGCTCTTCAGTACAGCCCATTCTACTGCCAGTGTTGTCTACGAAGGATTGCATGGCTATGCACTTTTTTACACCTGCTAGCAATGGGAGTGGCTGAAACACCTGAACCCAATAATTAAGAGGGGTGTCCACATACAGTATGTGAGGAGACCTAAGAGGGTTTTCCTCTTATATTATCTTGAAGACTAGTGAATGTGACATCACTCCCAAATGAAAAGGCACATTTGAAACATTCCATAAATTTCTATTTAGATTGTACAACATGTATAAAAATGAAGGCATACAGTAAAAATAGGCACATTTTCAGACATCACATATTGCACTATATGGGAGAAACGTATGATGGTTGAGTAATTCAGCACAGAAAACCTTGACTCTGACTTCAGTCTGTCTCTGTTCTCTGTTGAACCTCTGCTGCAATAACCACGAGAGCGAGCAGGCAATTTACTCGGTAACAAACAAGGTGCCGCTGTGAACATACCCTTTGATCAGCCAGCGTTTTACAATTCAAGCGGATTGCTTGTAATGGAATCAAAGGTAGTTTGACTGAATAGTTCTTCTAACAGCATTCACCCTTTTGCATTTATTCAGCGAGGGGTTGCCAGGTTGCAAAAAAATCTCTCTAAAATATGCACACCGTCAGAAACCTCAATAGGCTGTTATGAGACTGATTGTCCCATGCTGGGGTTGGACCCTGCAGTGCCACATGGGGTTGCTATGGCAGTGGGCCGGCTGAGGCCAGTGATGTTTTGGCTGTCGCTTAGGTGGAAGAGTTGCTGCTGGTGCGAGCGGGACTCCAATTCCCATGGTGCACCTCACCTGTTTACTGAGTATTTTCAGCCCCATCTGTCACTCGGGAGAAAAGATGACTGCAGTGTTCTTTCTTGTTCTCTCTTTCTGACTTCATATTCATGACGAATAATATCAAAAGCTCTCTCACTCATTTTCAGTTTTGTATTCTTCGAATAAGATTTTTTAAAGGAACTCTTCAGCATTTCCCCAACTAATCTCTATCTTCTGCACCTGTAGCATGCAGCCGATTCTCACAGACTATCATTTTGAGGCATTTCTCTGTACTCAGAAAAGAAAGAAAACCCGAGAAGTCTGTGGAACTACGCTTTAACTCTGATTAACCCTTTAAAGTCAAAGGAAGTTCTTGACTTCCGTACCTTACTAGCTACATAAAACTCATATATTAGCTTGGATTTGAAGGGTTAAACCATCAGTTGTAACTATGAGCCTATAGTCAACAGACATCATAAACACAGGGGTGGG